ATGGGTGGCAATAACATTTTTTGCTAAATTTGTTTGTTTCTTTCCCATAAGAAAGAGAATGGCAAAGAATTAAGTCACCATATTAGCTTAAAAAAACAGTTTTTAGTTAATGTATCCATTATATCAGGCAAACTATAAACTTATTTTACAAAGAAACTAGGCTTTCTGATGGGTGTAAACAATGGCAGTGTCTAACTGGTAATTATTTGTTCTCATGTAAAGGAATTTCTTTTTTTCTCCTTGCTTAGCATTCCCTCTTTTACTAACAACATGAAACTTAGAACCACCCCTATCAAAATCAGCTGGTACTGAAGCAGCAGTCCCACCAGGAAAACTTGCTTGTCAATTTCTACTGTTAAAACACATGTCGTTCCAGGGGTTAATTGTCAAGAATACGTCAACTGAATAATTTTTAGTGCTTGGGAGAGCCACTTAAGTAGATGATTAAAGAATAAGGTTCAGTTATTTACATAGAGAAAACCATAACTATTCACATTGCAGTGTAGTTTATAGATTTTAAAAAACCTTCAAAGTTTGACTATACTGCACCTAGTCTGTAAGCTACGGAGGCCTATACGAAAATACAGGACGACTACAGTGTAACAGAAAAAAACAAACATGACGTGAGAAGTGAGATTACACACAAGACAAGACAGGCCAAGAGTGGATAACTGGGGGCGTGGTAATGAGGCTATGAGGGTTCACTGTACTATTCTTTCCACGTGTATTCATGTTTGAAATTTTCTGTCTTAGAATTTAAAAAATTTAAAAAACTTAAAAAATAAAAAAAAAAGAATGGTGAGTCTTGCACGGGAAGCACACCTTTCCCTCTAAGGCCGCACGCATTCTGCACGCTTTTCCAAACGCTCCCTCGCCACTCCGGGCGGCCGTCCGCGGGTGAGCGTGCCTCTCACGGGCAGACGCGACAGGCGTCAGCTTCCTGCTGACATACCTACGAGCCTGCTGCGTTTAAGAACAGGCTTCTTTTCTTCATGGCCACACATCGAAGCTGAGGGCTCCACGGTGACCTCTCGCCCGCATCCCCCTTCTCTCAGCTCAGTCACAATAACCTGCTCAGATCGCCTTGGCCTGCAAACCCAACAGCCTCTCCCCCCCGCCCCTGTCCCGTCCAACTCTGCCCGTCCTTCTCTCCTCTCCTTCACAATGGAAGTTCTTTACAAAACAGTCTACTGGGCCAGAGACTGATGGTTGTTTTTCAGTCGCCGTCCTTCTTGTCATCTTTAACATTAGATCGGGGCCACCAAAAATAAGACGTGCTCCCTTGCCAGTGGGACGTGTGGAAATAGTGGGTCCCGCTGTTTGGTCGCATCCTTAATTAAAGGGACAACTCTTTCTCTCTGGCATCTCCCTCCTCCTGCTGGTTGGAATGTGAACAAAGGAGTTGGTGTTCCAACACCCATTTTGTATCAAGATAGGGCTTGGGCAATGGAAGCAATAGATGCGGCAGCAATAAGATAAAAGATCACATCCCCAGTACCTTAGGGCACCTCCGATGCATCCACATCCTTATGTTAACGTCGCTCCTCACCCGCGTGAGCCTGGCGTGCGTGCAAGTTACTGGGCACTACCTGGCTGTCACCGCGCTGCCCACGCTACTTGGTGCTGCCGATCATTGTTCCCTGTCTCGATGGTCCAACGCTTTCCGACACTTTTTTCACGCCATAGAACACATAGGCGATGATACTGGTACTCACATTGGGGAAACACACAAAACTGCTATGGCTGGAAGTAGCTATCTGAGGGGAGCCTCTGACCTCCTCAGCCCCCCTGGACTCTGGAGGTGCAGAGATTCAATGGCAGGATAAGACATGGAACCGGCTGATAGCATGCTATTGTATCATGGCACATTTTTGGGTAATTTAGTTCTAGATACCTCAGTCTCTCTCTTTGTTTTAATGTTTCTTTCCTTAACATTCTAGAAATATGAGCATATTCTATAGTTCTCTTATAGTCTTTCATCTGGGGTTTAGTTACTTGTATGGATTTAATTAAAATCTACGTGCTCATGACTCTCAGGTCTATATAAACATCTCATTTCTTTTTAGTAAGCAGCAGACAAAAATCCAGCTTCTCACACAACATCGCCATCAGAATTCTTCCAGGCCCTCAAATCAATGTATTAGCTTCACCCCAATGTGTTTGTCGTCTTCTATGCCCAGTGAGTGCCACTGCCACTGAGCCGTTCACACCGGAGCCCCCAGAGCCTTCTTTTGCCTCTTCCCTTTCCCTCCCTGTCCTATCTCATGTCCAGGAAGTCAAAAACAATTGGCTCCTTCTCCTTGAACAGGCCAGAGCTACTCAGAAAAAGTCACATTAAGACTCATGGTTAAATCTGCCACCGTGTCTTGCCCATAAGGTATGTAAAACATTTTTCACCTGTAAAGCACAACAAGATCCTGTCAGGAATGCAGAAAGTACATGTGATTTAGTGGAAATGTAAAAAGATATTGAGCCCAAGTCACCAGTTAAAGTGCAGATGCGAATATTCACGCAGCCAGGTGACCCAAAGGAACCATTTATATTTGAGACCCAGTTTTCTCACCTGTAAGCATTCCATTTGTTCACACATTCAACGTGCAGTTACTGGGCTCCTATGGGTCAGGAAATGTGTAATTTGTTGGGGATACAAAGATGAAAAAAAGAGTAAGACATTCCTTTCCCCTCAAGAAGGAAGGCAAACATGCAAAATAATAATAGTTTTAGTGGGCTCACCCTCAGTGGAGACAATATTGCCCCCAAGGGTAAAAAATTTGTTTCTGTTTTTGCAGTGGGCAAAAAAAAGCCCCTTTAGGGCATAAAACACAGATATACATAAAACACAGATATAGTACTTAAATAGATATACAATAGACCTATGGAATTAACTAAATGCCAGTTCTGGGCTAAGTTGTTCCTCATTATCACATTTGTCCTGAACAACGAACGTACGAGATAGGTGTTATTATTTCCATTTCTCAAATGATCAAAGGGCTTGGAGGGGTTAAATAGTTCAATAATCGTACTGGCTGGCAGTAGACTATAAGTTCCATAAATGCAGAGGTCTTGTCTGAATAGGTCATTGTTCTGTTCCCAGGGCTTGGAGCAGCGCCTGCCACTCAGAGGGCAGCCCAATAATGTCTCGTGAACAAGGGATTAAGTTTTGTGAGTTGGAAACGCAAGGAGAGCCTGGAGCTCTTGAAGTGCTCGGTTCCAAATCCTGTCCTTTGTAATCTTTATGTGATGAGACATGTACAAGGCATGGCTTTAGAATGAACTAATGGATCTATGAATGGATAAGTGGATAGGATGGACAGAAAGAGAAAGCCAGAAGACAGAGAGGAAAAGGGTGAATAGTCTTCCTCCCTCCCTCCCTTCTTCTCCGTTAAGAGTAGTAAGTGTGAGAATTAAATTAACAATTTGTATATTAAAAACTATGGGGAATAAGTGCAAGCAAGGTACCCGGTAGAAGTTTGACTGGCACAAACATAATGGGTCCCCTGACAATTCTACCCTGCAGACAGTTCGTGCACTCACACATTTTCACGTCCCTTGGAGTCTAGCTGTGACCGGCTCACCGCTAACAGGCCCAGCTGGGGTTACACTGTTCATGGAACACAGCCAGACCTGGATGAACAGTCATCTACCAGAACTTTTCAGATAATAACTGAAAAAGTACACATAAATGTAGGATAATAGTTCTATGAGAAATACTAGCATACTTAATACATTGGCCAAGAGCAATTACTATTTTTAAAGAAAAATCATTTTTTTCTTTTAATTTGATTTTTAACGTTAAGGCTTTGCTCATATTAAAATAATGGGTCATGGATGAGCCGATACTACATTTAAGTGAAAATAATATAATTATGAATTACAATTATATACGGAACCCTGACTCCATTTCAACTGTCTGTCCTTGATCGAGGTCTTTAACCTCTGAGCTTCAAATCCTGAAGGGTAAAATGGGACATTTATCACATTGGAGCCATAGGGAATGATGAGAAAGTGTACAAAAAGCACCTACCATAGTTCCTGGCAAAGAATCGGAACTCGGTAAATATGGTTCCTTTTCCTCTGATTCAAAGAAACACAGCTAACTCTATCTAATTCAGTTATTAAAATCTTCCCCTGTTTACATTGTTTCAAGGTGAGACTTTGATAACAAAGGTGAGATGGGGAAATACGGAATGTGTTCCGCTTTATCCTTAGCCTGCCTGACACTGGCTTTACGGTAGCTTCTGGCTTTCCGGTGTCACACATATAACCAAACAAAACCCCCCACATTTGGTTTTCTTCTGAGTTGACAAAATTTATTTTTTAATAAAATTTGCACAGTAATAAGTGATGTATTTTAAAAGTATCTTTGCACTGTGTAAGCTGTGCCAAATGGCCCGTGTCACACTCACAGACCCACATGGGAGCCTAACAGTCATGCGGAGAGACCGAGCACTATTGGAGCTTGAAATTAAAGCCTTTGAAGACTTTGTTGCTGAACAACAAGAGCCTAAACAAATTTCGTAGGAACATTTGGTTTATCTGTGGCTGGTCTATTCAATTACTTGCCAAAGCCTCAAATTTATTTCATTCCAGGCCCTGGAATGGGGGTGGGGGAGGGTGTGTGTGTGCCAGACAGACATTGAAGCCAGAAAGACTGAACACAAATCCCGGCCATGCTATTAACAAGCTACGTAGTAAGTCACTTAACTTAGTTTCCGTATGCATAAAACGGGAGAGTTTTTGTGAAAATTAAAATGAAACGTATGTAATGTATCCCTCACAGTGCCTAGAGACCTAAGCACACACTGAAAACTTTTAGCACTTTCCTGTTGTCATCGTCATTAAAATCTTCCGTGAGAGATTAGGCACACGGCACTCGTCCCTTGCGGCTGACCTGCGAACCCAAACTGCGATCCTCCGCTTGCTAAATGGGAGCCAACTCTACAACGACTAACGGCCCGAAACCACACGTCCACACCACACAATACTTGGAGAGAGCATACCATAGCCCAGTGTAGACAGACCCAAGTGTTTCATTCTATTTTTCACAAGTTCAGCAAGCTCTTGTCTCTCTGACCTCCTGTAGAGGTTCAGTCGCTGCTGCGTTATTTTCTCAGCTGTTTTACCAGAGTGTTTTGGACCTTTTCTGCTCAGTCTTCGGGCCCACTGCATGCTCTTTCTCCTCAGCAAGGGGTGGTCCGACTGGTCGCTGGAGGTGGAGTTGCGGTGGCTGCCTCGGGGCTGGCCGTGCTCCCTGCTGTCCTTGGTGTCTTCCCATTCCTCCACACTGATGGATATTTGAGACTTGAAAGGAAATGCATGTAGATGGTTAGGCAGGTCAGGGGTCGGTTCAGCCTGGGGTTCTGGTCATATTTTTGCTACTATCTTGGTGGACTAATTTCGCTCATGAGAGCTCTCCCAGAAAGAGCAAAATCATAATCAGTGATACGGATTTTCCATTACTAAAAATACTATTAGAAAATACATTCTCTTGAAATTATGTATAAACGAGATGAAAGATCTTTGCATCCTCCAATATAAGTTTTTATGAGAAGATTTAATTTTTGTGTATCAGATTTATTAAATTACTATTAACAGAGTTGTTTGAAACTACAAATTTTAAAAAGCTAGATATTTTATAGCTTTAGTCAAATAAAGTCCATGTAATGAACTTTTCTAAATCTACTGCATGTATCTCATATGAAATTTAAATGAATATGGTAAAAACTGTTTTACTTTTGGAATTGATAATATTTTAAAGTTTTTAAATTTATTGCTCTTTCTAAAAATGGCATTGCAGTGTACATTATAAAATGTGATGTTTTTATTCCCTCATAGACCCACAAAAAACAAAACACACTTTTTAATTCATGCATTAATTATACTCCATGTCCAATATTTTCTGATGAAAATATTAAAACGTATTTCAGGAACTGAAGTATTCTAATTGAAAATATGTTGTCAATATTAATAGTTCACAAATGTCTTCTAGAATCACAAACAAAACTTCAATCAGGCTCTTCTCCATAGAAGGGAAAAGCAATGAACAAACTCATAAAGTGAATTTTGATTCTTTCACTACTAAATCTGATTTTTAAGTAAGAAGCTCTTCTTTGATTATGGGCCCTTAATAACTGAAAACCTCTTGTTTTAAAGTGGTTGCTTTTCATACCAGGAAGTCATATGAAATGCAACCCCATCAGGGCAGAAAGGCTCCCCCCTAGAAGCATGCGCATGCAGATGAGCAGCTTCCTGACTCGGAGTGCACCTGCCGCAGCGTTCGCGGGCCTGCTCTTCCTTCCAGGACGGAAGTGGCAGCTTCAGCTATAACATGCATGTGTTGCTGGCTTTCAGAGTAAGAGAATTCAAATTACCAATTTAAGTAAGGTCAGGAGGAGATCCAATAAAATCCTTTAAAAAGTGAATATAAATTACGGAGGCTCAGTCAATGCCTTGCATGCAATACCTAGTGGCAGGCTATGAAATCATCTCACATTCAATTAAAAAAATATATATATATATTTATCTACCTTTGTATTTCAAAACAGCCCTGTATCAGAGTGATATCAAAAATAAGTGATTTAACCTTCATATCTTCATGATAGGGGAACATATCATCAACATTTTTAGCAACTCTATTTCAGTTATCAGAGTTTAAGTTGGGAGTACTAAAATTTTTAATATTATGGTTTTGCAACAGCAGATACTACTGCAAATCTTCCTCTAGTCTCACGTACTTGACAACATGCCAACAACCCTCTGCTGTGGAAGTGAAATGCATAAACCCTTGAGTGATATCTGCCATCAGTATAGAATGTCAGGCTTTGTTCAGTAGTTTTAGCATCTCTGTACTTTGCAGCAAAACTGAAGACATATTAATTCATTCATAATTAGACACTTGGCTGGCAGAGTTTTGTTAATCACAATCTAAAATGTATTTGATACGATCTTTCGAGTCATAAGTCTCTGTACTAGTTTGATCTCCTACAAATATGTGGAAATACTAATCTTGCCATAACAAATAGGAAAAATAGTGTGCTTGTATAATGTCACTTAAAATTCAGCTCATGAAACCATAAACTAATAAATATTTTAAGGGAGAGATTTGCTTCTCTTCCAAGTAGGGAATGAAACACTATTTGTCTTTGTGAGTGCTTTTTCCAACTTTTGTCAAGTATACATCTATGACATGAACTGAACCCAATGTATATATTAGCTAAACATTACTGAGCACCCCATGTATCATTATTTTGAATGCCTCAAGGTAGGGAATATTATGATTTATACATAAAACCCATAGAAATTGCCAGACCTTTTTGGTCAATAATTCAATAAAATAAATAACATCCTTTTGTATATTTCATTTTAACTATAGGAAAAAGGAATTAGAAGGGTTTGGGGATTCCTTTTAAGAAATCTAAACTGACAATACATAGATTGTTCTTTACATGTGTGAAGATTATAGACCTTTCTCCTGTCCTTCCCATATAACATGATACAAAGCACACTGCATTTTTACGTACTAAGATGCTCAAGTTTGAAGGATACTGTGTATATTTCCTAGCTCTGTCCCTACAACAAAAGCGTTTAAGCTCTACGTAAAGTGGGAACACTGCCCATCTTGCACCTCACAGAAATTCATAGAGCACAGTAATGTATAAAGACATTGGTCCACTGTCAACTTCCGTATATAATAATAGCAGTACTGTAACTCAGTAAGCACGGTCACCTACAAGTCAGTTACATTGGTAATAAGCATTCTATTCCTGGCCCTCAGTGTGTGTGCATGTTTGTGTGTTTTAAAAGGAGGTCCTTTTAGAAATATATTTTCCTGCTGTCATGTCCTCATCGGGTCGTAACTCCACTGTGTTTAGAACATGCCATCATCTTCTGGTGAAATAGCCTTGTGCGGGGACACACAAAAGTGGCTTTATCGGAGGGCTTTTTCCTGGGCGTAGCGACCGTGTGAGAGCGTGGGTACAGGAGCGAGGCAGACCTGGGTTTGCTCGGGCTTCCTGGGCATGTCATCCAAACCTCTAAGAGTATCGCCATGTCCTTGTCTGAGAAAAGGGTAATGCTCGTATATTTTTTTTGCCCACAGTGTTTTGCTGAGGAGATCTGAGACATGATCCATGTCCAGTGCATACGATAGTGTCTGTCTCAGCCAGTGTTCAAAACCTATTAGTAGTATGGATCATTATCTTGTATATTAAAAAAAAAAAAAACAGTGACAGGTAGAAACAATGATGAGGAGTTAAAAAAGGTAAAAAATGGGTGTGAAAAAGACAAGGAAGGACATATTTTTCATGCGGTTTTCTCTATCAATGACTATTTCACAAGCAATCAAGATGCTATAAGCAAATCCTTGGAGGTGCAAATTCCTTGGTTAAAGTTGATGAATCTGAAGAGAACGTGAATTTAAGTGAAAGTGGAGACTTACTGTTTTGTACTACTTCTATGAATTGTTCTTTGCTCTTGAGAATATTGAGGAGACCCTGGTTTGACCTTTCTTCGGTACTGTTATTATCAAAAGCCTAATGTCATTATTAAAAATCAAGATGTCGTACTAACGCTTGTGAGAAGGAAAGAAGATATTTGGACATTACTATGTTCTGACCTCAGCGTCTGTGTCCCCTCAAAATTCATATGTTAAAGTACTAACTCCCCAGAGGTGATGCGTCAGGAGGTGGGGTCTTTGGGAAAAGATTAGGCCAGGAGGGTGAAGCCCCATCAAGGGGCCGGTGCCCCTGTAGGAGAGGCACCAGAGAGCTCCCGAACCCCTTAGGCCATGGGAAGCTAGAAGTCGGTGACCGAAAGGGGTCCCCACCGGGCACTGTTGCACCCTGATCTCAGACTTCCAGCCGCCAGTACTGAGCATTACATTTCTCTTCATAAGCCACCCAGCCTGTGGTATTTTACTACAGCAGCGTGAACTAAGACGTTTTATAGGAAATGCTCTGGGAGCTACTGACATAGTTTAATAAGGGAATGAAAATTTCTTATGGCTACAGTTTTAATATACATTTAAAACATGATTTGCAAATGTTATATGGTTTTCCAAATGTTTGTCACATTTAATATGGTTGAAAAAAGGCTCAAAATATTTCTTCACAAGATTAAGAATCGAAAACTTTATAAATGAAATAATGTTTCTTATGCCTCAAACAGCTTTATACACTTTCATAATTTTCAGAAATGTGGAAAGTGTCAGGTTCACAACATATATGAAAGATTCTTTTCCACACCCTGCACACACATGCACACACACACACAAGGAGTTAATTGGACTTTCCCTCGGATTTTTATTCACATCATAGGATATTGAGCAATCTGTGGAACAAAGTGGTCTTTCAAAATAAATCAGTGCACCCAGTAGCTTGAAAGTGAGTGTTCATAATCAGGATTCATCACTCCCTCAGGAATAGTTTCATAGTCGTTATAAGGGACGGGCACAGCGGTGTCTGGCTGATGGCTGCAGACCTTCGAGTCGCTACTAGAGAAAAGCACACGCGGGCGTGTGTCCAAGAGGTCGGACTCAAGGTCTGGTCCGAATGCAGGTTGGTCTCAGCATCGCTAGCTTTTGGCTTATTAGAAATGAAACAGCAACTCTTCTTAACTAAGTAAGGTGTTTTATGTCCGCAAATAACTGCATGTAAGGGTATGTTTTCTTTCTACATAAGATACCCTTTGGGGTGTATATGTTTAGATTTTCACAACATGTATTAACCATAAGTATTATGTGTATGTGTAAAGAATATCCTTGTGCAACTGAATTGGTTTACATTCCAAAACTGACTGACAAAGAAATAAAAAATCATTACATAGAAGAACATCGAACAAGCAGACAGACGTGACTCGCGCATAAGGTGCTCAGAGTCTGCGTTTTTAGAGCTATAGCATCAGGGCCCGCTCTGCCACCTGCACAGAGCAATTTTTACTCCTCCTTTTCCAGAGCTACAGGAATATACAGCCCAAAAGCAGAGGTTTCAGACGTGTGTGTGTGTGTGTGTGGACCCCACGCCGTGCAGGGCAAGCGCGGGCCAGCGTTCCATCACCTCGGGCACGTTACGGTCCCGAGGGGAGGCCCAGCCGTGCCGGGGAGACGGAGAATCGCAGCGGCTCTCAGGAGGGCGCGGCGCCCGCCCCGCCACGCCCAGACCCCTCGCACACACACCCCCACACGCCCTTCTCTTCCACAGCATCCGAGTGCACCTGGCCTAGCGTGTGCGCCACTCAGCAATTCGGGAGCCAGTAAGAAGGACATTTCTATGATAGCTGTCAGACACAAAGATATACGGCTTGGTAGTATGAATGTTCATGTTGTTACCTGAAGCATTTACATAAAACAGTTCTATTGATCCAAGTAGACTGTCGCTCAAAGACCTCCACTCCCTTGTGAAGATGACCCAGATCAACCTTATGATTTCCTATCTGTTCCCGAAGGGACAGACTCTAGCCGCCATCCAACGAGGAGCGGCTGAATTACGCCCTGTGGCCAGGTTCAGTGAAGAACGATCTCCATGCTGAGTGAGGTGGGGAGGGGACAGAAGGCCATGACTGTGGCATTGAATTAAATCGAATGGATTGGTTCCATTTAAATGGCTTCTTGATCATCAGTGTGCCTGCAAGACTCTTGGTGAGTCACAGACAGCAACTGATGCAAGTAAGAAATGCTTCCCCTAGCTTGGGAGCAAACAAGGCAAGAATCGATGGAGCCAGAAAATACTGTGTATAAGAATTATAAAATTAGGTAGGATTTTTTATGAGAGAAAGTGAAAGAACACTGCAAATAAGCTCAGCTTCCAGAAAGGGGTGTGTGTGTGTATGTGTGAATTAGAATGTGCTGGAGGTTGGTAAACACATCTGTACTTGACTAGGATTACAAGGTATTTACTCAAATCACAGGAACTCTCACTGTATTTTCACGATAAATTTGTGTGCTGGCAAACACTGTCTGAGGCAGTGCCGCCCACACACAAATGATGCACCAGGGTAACAGTGAATTAAGATCTATGCTGCTCTGTCTACTTGGCATGTAATTACTTGCCCCTTCCTCTGAAAATGCACTTAACCCATTCCTCCTATTCCTGACCCATGAACTGACACTAATATGCCCCCTACTGAGCCTTCTGCCACTAGGTGTTGAGACAAGCCCAAGCTCGCCCAGCTAGTAAAAGGAGAAGCCCACATTTAAACTCGGACCATCCGGTTCCCGGTCCAGTCCTCACTTGGTCGGGCAAAATAATGAATAAATGACTTGTACCAGAAACAAGGACAGAAAGAGCATCAACAAAAAATGCCTAGGCTATAGATTAGTCCCTGCTTATCAGGGGGGGTGGGGGGAGGGGGGTGCGTTTGTGCCAGAGGCCCAGTGGGGGCCTGAAATGGCGGGTAGTGTTGAGCCTTATATGTAATGTTTTTCCTATACGTACCTAGGGTTAAGTTTAAATTATAAATTACACACAGGAAGAGATTGACAACTACTACTACTAATAAAATAGAACAATTTTTAACAATATACTGTAATTCAAGTTATGTGACTGTAGTCTCTCTGTCTCAAAATACCTCTCGCCCTGTGTGTGGAGCGTGGACACACTGGACAGAGGGTGATCCACGTCCCAGGCGAGACAGAGGTGTTGCCACACTCCCCAGGAGGGTGCACGGCTTAAAACTTAGGCGTTGTTTACTTCTGGACTTGTTCGTTCAATGTTTTCAGACCGTGGTTTACTGCAGGTAACGGAAACCGCTCATCACAAAACCGTGTGTAAGTGGGGACCGTCGGACCTTACAATTCAGCAGCCAAAGACTTGACTTGATACAGTTTAGGCATCAAAATCCATTATAGATTTTTCATCATGTGAGTAAAGTAAGGAAGAGGATCGTTAATCTGTCTGGGCTATGAAGGGAAAGGAATTAGGAAAAATCAAATTAACCGAGAGGTAATGAAATCCAATAGCAGGCATGAAATTTTCCTGTCAGCTTTCTGATTGCACCGAAGGTGAACGCCGCACTTAGGAGCATTAGCTGGTAACACCACCACGCAGCGCGGCATATGACTGAGTTCGTGCATGAACGTAACCTGAAGACAAGCAGCTGGGATTAGTCTGTAATTCTAGTCAGGAAATAGAAATACACTAGCTGGAAAATAGAGCATTTATAATATTTTGACTCAATTAATTTGTCTTATTTTATAATTGGAAATATTGAATTCAGCCTTTAATATTCTTTTCCTTTAACAGCTCTGAATTCATATATTTAACTATTTGAGGAAAGGGAAAAAAGCAAAATACTTACTTGTGAGGCTGTTTCTCGAGACTGACACAGGGAGGGAGAAAGAAACACACAAAACACAGTTTAGATGACGACTCAACAACATGTACATGAAACAGCAATGAGGACAAAATGTGACCAGTGCCCACATAACGTATAATCCGTGTGTTTAATTATTGAGCATAGAGCTTTTGAATAAAATTATAAAAATAATAAAATTTAAAGTTTACCAGAAAGTTGTTCTTGTTAGATTTTTTGGGGGGTTTGTTTTTATGGGTTTCCGTTTTTTGTTTGCTTTTTTTTTGTGCTAAAAATTGTCTTTCTAAGATTTGCTAGGAAAAAAATTGGTGCTAGTAGAAGAAAATAAAACAATTGATAAGAGTTTATGAAACTACTATATTTACAAGAAAATATTTGACATAATTATTGACATTCAATAATCAATAGTGATATTAATATCTGTACTATTTTAAAATGCAGATCTTTTAAAAGATTTTTAAAGTTAAAAAATTTTAAATTTAGGCCTTATAATAAGATTGCCTTTCCCCTCTGTAATTTAACTTAGTTCACAAAAAAATATTCTGAGTTTTCACATTGGCTATACAGTTTAATAATTGATCTGCCCAGTTATCACATAACCCCTATTTAGCATTATAAAAACTATGCTATCTTATTCTTCAGTTTAAAAAACATTTCATTGGGTAGAAGTGAAATTTTCAGTTATATTTTGGGAGAGAAAAGTAACTCAAGTATCCTCATTGTCTAGCATTCTAACTATTGTTTCAAATATTAAAAATGCATAATAGACATTTGATTATAGGCTCCTTAAAACTTTATCTCAGGATCCCTAACACATAGCCCAATGGAACAAATGTTGTTTGAGTGAATAATAGCAGAAAATTGTCAGCTAGAGTTTCTAAATGATTCTATTTTAATCCTTATTAAAATAATTTTAATAATTTGATCTTGTAAAAGGTAAACTTTTTTAATATATTAATAAAATATAATAAAATATTTCAGTTTAACAGTAAAGACTTAATAACTGGTAGGTGGGGCAGTCAACGATTTCTCCATTATAAACACTCTTTTAAAGTTACAGGATTCATTGACTCTGAAGGTGGCCGACGATCAGACTAACGTAGGCCACAAATTTATTGTGTGCATTGTAAAAAGGTTGGTAGTTTCCTATGCGTTAAAATAATCTCTTTCTAATTTATGGTGTATTTTCACTGGTTATATTATACTTTAAGCAAATGCAATTTTCAGTACACTGGAACACTGAAGTACAGTTCTATATTTTCTTACCTCCCCCCCAAAAAACTATAGAAACAAGCACATTCATTAATTCATAATTTTTCAGATTTTGGAAAGATAGTACTATATTATATACTTCGTGGTCAGTTATACTCTTAGTGGGTTTTGGGGGTAGCATTTTATAATGAAAGATTATTATTTCTTCAATGAAAAGTATGAATATTCACTGGAATAAGGAACATCATAATCTCGTGACAATTTGGGGGAGGCTCAGCCACCAAATGAGTTCAGGGAGCTTTTCGGATTTCAGAGTCGCGGATAAAGGGTTGTGGGCAGAAATCCTTTTCTTCTCTGTTGCCAAGAGAAAAAGGGGCCCTTCTCCATCCCGCACTGGCTTTTGAACCAGAAGAGAATGATGTTGATAGATTCCCTTCGGTAGACCCGTGGATGTTGGCGGGGTTCTCCTGGCCTGGAGAAGGGGTGCAGAGCCAGGTGCCCCCGACTCTCCCGGCCGGTTTTCCACTTTACGCTCGGTCCTCCTCCCACCCTGTGTAGCCCACGAGAAAAATCGGAGAGAGTATTCCAGGTCTTTTATTCATTTCATAATTTTAATGATGAATGCCCTTTTCTTACTGTGACATTTTAGATGTAGGGTAACAGTAATTTCTCTGCCCTGATGTATTTCTCCGAATGCTTGATGGTCCTGCTTCTATCTTTAATTATTTAAATGGTCTCATTTTTATAATAGGCAGAATATAAAATTTAAATTAAAAGATATGCACCAAAAGATGAATTCTGTACAGGAAGACGGGGGGTGTTATGTTTATTTAACCCAGTTTCCTGTTATCTTCCCAACAATGAGTGTTGTTTACGTGGAGATTTATAAACATTTTACTGAGGTGACCTTTATCTGTGGTGGAAAGAACTGACCGAAATGTAATGTTACATGCTCCTCAGTGCAACACAAAAGCTCAATTATCCTTTCCCCACCTACATGCTAAACAACATAAAGCAAAGTGCATTAATAATACAAAACAACGGACAGGAATGTGAGCTTGACCGAGGGCCGAATCCACCCCGCCCACGGATTCACAAAGCCTGTGTGTCAGGTCAGAACTTGACGACATCCTGCAGTCTGGGAATCTCGGCGCTTAACCAGCGTCAAATGTGAAACGGTTCATTGCTTAGGTGTAAGAGAACTTGCCATCGGCTTTCACCAGGTAATAATTGTGGAGGCCCGATGTTCTTACATTTGTAGGCACATCTGACTGTTACGCTCGCATCTTTAACTGCTGTGTTTCTCTGTCGGTCATGCCTGGTTTGCTCTGACTGGGTCTTGCTTTTGGGGGCCCACAGCCAATGGCGTACTGAGCTGAGCAGCAGGCGGCCGTAAGGAAGTAGTAACATCCTGCGGCTACGGGGAAACCCCCAAAAGTACCTCAGAAAAACAGAACTATTTCCACTGGCTTCCATACCATTCATTCAGATGTCAGCCTATAGATTTTAACAAAATAACAGAAATCTCCCTCACTTTTAGGCTTCCGAGGAAGTTCTTTTCTATACAAGGATGCGTTGATTTTATCACAAATTGGTTTAACAATTGCATGGACTATTAAACTGCACATAACTGACTGGAGCCTCATAGCTGAGGTAATTTTGTATAAGACCCAAAATGAAAGGAATGGTTAACTAAATTTTCGAATACTGTGGAGGTGTCTGAAGAAGAAAAACACGTGAAGAATATAGATTGTCCTTCATGTTAAACAACGTTACAGCTCTAGATAGGGTAGTGCATTTATTCAACATTTTTATTTCGTTGCAGGGTCTAATTTGAAATGCGATGGTTTACTAAGCGTGTATAACCTATTTAGAACCATAGGATGTGCCTGCAGCCTCAGAAAAATCCGGCTGCGCTGCCGGTCTCTATTTCGCTTCTAAAATCACTGAGCTTCCCCCTGGGAAGGGCCGGCCCCGCCGCTGGACTGTTTCCCCGGCTCCGGGTTAGTCTTCAGGCAAAAGTTTGAAAAGCGTGTGTTCCGTCGCTCACTAGCCTGTCGCAGTTTTGCTCCTTTCCAATGCTAAGGACGGGCTGGGGGAGTCTGGGAGAAAGCCAGGGCCCCGACAACTCTTCTTACCCATCCGAAGGCTGCTTACAATTCACTTGCTCCCCGAAAGTCCCCTGGAAATGACAGGCCCTAGATCTGCAAAAGACCCTCAGAGCCACAAGTCCACCATCGCTCGTGTAGCCCCTCTGCCAACAGTATTCTGAGAAATTCGGCAGAGTTCACTCAACAAACAGTTGAGAAGTTTTTCTCACGTGAGCACTCCCCACCCCCCCGTGCTCCGACAGCATCTTTTTGTTTCTGTGACATTTGTCAGAAATGGATCCCCGTTGCCGGGAACGCTGCCTCCCACCCGTTCAGCGCGAACACGGGAACCCTGGGTCATTCCAAACCTCAGACGTGGCCAGCTTCTGCGACTCGGTCCGGTAGATGCCGATGGGCACGTCTCCGCTGGAGGAGCAGAGCTTCTGGTAGAGCCGGGCGTACGTCCGGATCCACAGGTCTTCCTCGGTGATTTTCATCTAGAATACACAGCGGCTGTTTACCTATCCGCTTCTTAAGAAGGAAAAACCCCGCGGTTATATTTCGCTTCTTAAGGGTAGAAATGGCGACGGTTTGAAATCTCAACATGCCATTTCCTAGGTGCCTCTCCATGCCAGGAACTCGCTTAATGCCCCCCGCCTCAGCCTGAGGCCGGGGTTCCCCCAACCCGAGGAACCGCCCGCTCCACCTGTGGCAGTGCGACTTGGATCAGCTCAGCGTCAGGAGACCATGGTCGCTGCCACGTGGCTGGGAGTTGTTGCAAAACCTGTGGGGACTTTTTTAAAAGTTGCAATAACTAGAGGCCGCTACTGGAGTCTCTTGGACAGGGTCTGCTGACGCAACAAATATTAAAGTGCCAAGGAGACTCCGGTACAAAAGAGAATTGTCCATCAGAGCTATAACGACAGTCATCTGGGAAAGATGCGGCAGACCAGGCACCAGGCCCACAGACAGGAGGCGTGTCTGCGAGCCCCTCTCCAGCACCCCAACTTTGCATTGTTGGCAGGGCACTTCACTGGATGCTCTGAGACACAGTATGCTCTTTTACAAAACAATTACGGATCAGCTGAACGGCACAGTGACTTTTGGTCCCCAGTAAGGGATCGCTGGTCAGAAGCAGCCTGCTTCAAATGGCCAGCTGGAGGAAAACACCTGTTCTGAATTCTGGACAGCATAGCTACTGGTCATGATTATTAAAATAATGTTTTCCCTTGAACATTTTCTAAGGAATTAAAAAAATGACGATGCTGTGCTTTGAGTACCTATTAGGGAAAAATTAAGATAGAAGAGTTATCTATGTACATTATAGATAGATTTCAGACCATTTATCAAAATAATCTTCTATTCCAAAGATTATTAACTTACAGAACAAAGGAACCCCGATCCTGGGATAGTGTCCAACCCCAGCAGAAGTCTGGTGATAGAAATCATATAATCTTTCACAAATGACTGCAATAGAAACAAAATTATGAAAGGTGTAGAAGAGCCACACAGGTGAACATCGTATCACTAGTAAAAGGTTGTTTCTTGTCACACATCTTCAAGCCTCCGCCAAAAAGAAAGTAAAACTCTATCTTGTGAGTGTCCTAAATACACATGCACAGTTAAGCTGTCCGTAAGGAGACATGGAAGTATCTTGAAGTAATTTCTAGAATATCTTGTTATGCTAAAATGTTATGCATTCTGTTAGACATGATAAAAACATTTTTAAATGTTAATAATAAAAAGTGAGTTGCTACAAAATAGAGAATATATAAAAACTTGAAAGAACTAAAATTTGCAATGAAATATTACAAGTTTTTTGGATTCGGCTCAATGCTACTGTAATACATTTCTAATACTACAATAACTAAATGTTAATAAATTAATAGGTTAGTATTAAATATCACCAGACTCTTTATGTGCTGATATGTAAGATATATTTTGCTAGAACACTACTCAGTTGTTGGATTATCAATGATGCTTCCAATTTTTTTTCGGTTTACTCTTAGCCGTGGGTGGAAAGAAAAACATCCACGCAATGAAAACATTATACCATGACATATAACAATTGTTTGATAAATTTTACGAAGTGATACGCTTAGTTTGATCTTCAAGTGCTAAAATGTGACAAATTTAAATAATAATCTGTGCCCGGACCACCTGGCTCTGTTCTGGGCATCCTCCCGCGAAGCGGAAGCTCTCTAGCTCGATTCCAGGGCTTGATGCCCAGTCAGGGCACGTGCCTGGGTTGCGGTTTCATTCCCTGGTTGGGGCACGTGCACGAGGCAAATGCTTAATGTTTCTTTCTCACATTGATGTTTCTCTCCCTCCCTTCCCCTTCCTTAAAAAATAATCTAGTTATTTTGCATAGCAAAGACTTTTAGCAAGTTGTAATGCCTTTTACATAACTCCACCAAACTGTTTCTTGATGACTGATGTATGTTACTGACGTCTACTGCCAGGAGACGGCAGCCTTCCACCTAGAGTAGAAGCAAGGAACTAGGGCCATTCCCTCTGTGCAGGCCAAAGAGGTGGCCTTGAGGTCTCAAGGTGCGTCGGTCTCCTGGTAGTTGGGACATGAATACAATAATGGTGATTATATAAATTTAGGAATTTTATACATGACTTCTAACATCCCTTTTTAACCCATGATGGGGGGCTCTTTACCTGTCTCAACAACAGAACCTGAAAATATCTCATTTGATGTCAGGAGAAGATAAAAGGGTAGTTACTACTTTAGCTTATGTGTTCGACTTTCTCAAGAAGGTTTTACTTTAACACAAGCTACTGAGGCTAAAAGATCTGAAAACTACTGGTGCGTAATGACATCCAGCATTTGACTGATAAAAATTCTTCTGTTCCAACCTTGCTCTTCCAACAACCTTCCCCCGCCCCGCCCCCGTCTTGATGGTCAGAGTACGTGCAGGACGATGCCCGCGCGGAAGCTGGCCGCCTGCCGGGCCCCCGCAGTGTGTCTGGAAGCAGCCGGGCAAACAGCCGTGTTTGTCCTCCTGGGCCTGGCTGTCCCTGCACTCGGCGGGCATGAGCTGAAGGTTCGTGACATGTGACATTGTTAGAAGAACCCTCATGGGCGTCATGAGCCAGTGGAAAGGCTTCAGCTACTTTGGATTAATGTATTCCGTTGTAGAGGGCACGTAAAATATGTCATCAAAAAGTAAATAAGCCAAACAAAATATTTGAATGCTGAATTTGAGATTTAAGTCATCAAATTATTTAATACCCTAGGAATATTTATTTTCTGATAATGGAGATAGAAATTGATTACCTGAATCAGATAATTTGAATGAGTGCTGCTGCTCAGTTTCTGCGAGACTTAGAAAAAATTATTTAAATATATTTGGGTAAAATAGAATCTCTATGAATGTTATAACTACGATAAAATAATAGGAGTAACTTCAACCTTCTGGAATAATCACAATTCTCACGTGTTGTGAAATCTTTTTTATGTTTGCCTAAGGTAGGTAATAGTAGATATTTAAAATGTCCTTGGTTTTTCAGTTATTGGCACCAATTTTTCTTATTTAAATCAAAGGCATATTATAAATCAGTTTGTTTTTTAAACACAGTAATTTTTGTTGGCTTTTTTTAGTCTAGTAATATTAATGGAGCACAATACCACATGTATTAAAATGCCACAGTAAACACTGTAGGACCCTAGCGCTGAAGAATGCCAAAAAATAATTTCATGGCTTATTCTGAAAAAAAGAAAAAGATTTTTTTTTTTACAAAATGTTTCACTAAATTTTATGTCATTAAACATGTCAAAAAATAAAACACTGAATTACTTCCTGAAACAATTTTAAGTGAACCTCTCCAATGAGAAACGCTGGATCTGTTATTTATTTAACGAAAGCTGAGCGACATGGACAACAAACATTTCAGAGCAGAAACGCAGAAAGAGCGCGCACCTGGTAGAGCAGCGTGTCCAGCATGCTGATGCTGAACACCCTCCCCGCAGCAAAGGGCAGTCGGAACATGAAAGCCAGGTTAGAGCCCCGCTCTCGTTCTTTCTGCGCAGAGATCAGAGAGAGATGGGTGAGCAGCCTGCGTCCACGGTTTCCCGCCTCGTTTTTCCGCCTGTGTAGGGTCACATGTCTTCCACCACATTGAAGAGGAGAGAACCCTTCCCAATGCATTTTATGACGACATCATTACCTTGACCCCAAAGACCGGCAAAGATGCCACAAGAATAGACGGCCACCTCCTCGCCCCGTGTCCTCACACCCTGGGCAAGGAAGCCCTCAGGGCACCCGTTATAACGGTGCTAAGCCATCCCCCTAGCGGGGGCCCTGCCCGCATGGCCAGTTCACCCCCCAAAGCCCTGCCGCCTCCCACCGTCACATTAGGGGTCAGCTTCCGACATGTGCTTGTGAAGGGGACATGAGCGTGTGGTCAGTGGTGACTCAGACCTGCCATATAAAATCACGGTACTTGATTTTTAACGGATAAATTTGCACATTAAAACAGTTGTCCAGATAAATTGCATTTTCTCACTTCTCTAGAGTAGACAGGGCAATGTTTTCCTCCACTGACAAGAAACAGGAGCTAATTAGTATCCTCTTCAAATTCTTTTGGGGACAATGTGCAAAAAGGTAAATATTTTCTTAAAAACAGGGTAAGGAGTTTTCCTAAGGAATCAAATGCCAGGGAGATAGCACTGAACTCCCACTCAGCCATTCTAGTCCTTAGATTATGAATAAACAGTAGTCCAAACCTTTAAAGAGGAAAAAAAAGAAACAATATGTTTTTGTTTGTTCCTTTATATCTGTGTCTCCTGTTCAATTGTAAATTCTGTGTGTTTTGTTCAATTGGGTAGCTCCTAGCATGTAACAAGGTATTTGGCTTATAGTCAGTGCTCGGTAAATATTTATGGGCTTGAATTTAAATTGAGAATATGTAAAATTTTGCCTAGTGAATATATTTAAAAACAGCTTTGATATTCTTGCCTATTTCTCCTAGAAGCTATCTCCATTTTTTTGAATCATTTTGCTCTACCATTCACTGTAAAGTGATTCATGGTTTGCAGACATGACTATTTGCATTCTGACATCAATTTTCGGACATTAACTGGGTGTCCTCAATTCAGGTCAACACTGGCACTAACTACCCAGAGTTGGCTCAGACCCCGCAGGGTAAGAGGGCCCAGCCCCACAAGACTGTTCTTATTTCGGGTGCCTTCTCCAAGCCAACTGCACTTCCATCCATGCAGCTACAAATGCGGGGCTTCCCACTGCCCCAGCAGGCTCAGCGATTGGCTCAGACGCTCACAGATCTCAAGACGGGCCCTCCTTCAGGATGGCCACTTTACTGTGAGAATGCAAAGGAACAGCAGATGACAGGCGTATCCGGGAAGCTGGAGGGGCCCCGAGCACCGGGACTCCGTCCTGACATCCTCTGCTGTCAGCGTGTTCACCAGAAGGACAACCTCCACTCTCGTTTGCGCAGAGCTTTGTATCCGCGTTTCATCATGTAGGCATGATTACTGAAATCATTAGCCATGTGATTAAGCTCCCCCTTGGAGCTGGGATGTGATGAGGGGCTGAAAGGTCCAATCTTCTAATCATGTGGGTTTTTTCCTGGCAACCGGCCTTATCTCTAAGCTGCCGGAGGCCCCTCCAGGATTTGCCTTATTAGCATCAAATCAGTTATGATTGAAAGGTCTGAATAACAAAAGGCACTCCTATCACTCAGGAAGTTCCAAGGGTTTTTTGAAGCTCTGTGTCAGGAGCTAGGGACAAAGACCAAATCTCTTTTTCTGATTACACCGCCCTGTTCATCTCACATTTTTATTACTTGGCTTCTTCCATCAGTGAGTAATTACCATATGATTGCTAAAGTGTAATTATCATCACCACTGAGGAACGGAGGTAGTTCAAAAGCAATTGTAAAGGAAGCAGCCTTCAAGCCAACTGTGCCGTGAGCATGAATAAAAGACTACTTCATGGAGTGCATCAAAACAAGGGACATGAAGTAAGTCGAGAGGGAAATGAGGCAAAGATGCCTGTGTTTTCTGTTATTATCCTCCTCATCTCTGTTTTATTGTCACTTGACACATTTTTCTTTCTGCTCAGCTTTGTTAGTAGGGGTGTCAATGACACAGCATGGCCAAGGGTGGCATAAGACAGCCCTACCATATTCACTTGTGATAAAAATAGGTCAACTCCAGCAATCTGCATTTTTTAAAAATTTATTACATTAAGATTTTGGCCCCCTCCCATAGGAATTTGCAACAGCATTTTTACTTTTACTATCTCATGGCGTTTCTTTCTACACACAGAACTTCCCAGAGTTACTCTTTGAACCCAAATAGTGAAACGCAGCTCACCTTTTCCAGCTTTGAAAGGGCGAGGGAGTAGCAGTCTTTGGCCCTGAACTGCATGAACCGCATGTTGGCTGGGTGCGTGAGCTCCGTGATGATGCTGAGGCTGGAGAACAACCTGCGTGGGGAGACAGCATTCGCGTTACGCCCACGATGCCACACGGCGCTTTTCTGCGGGAGCGATTCCTCGCGCTGGGCGACAGCCGCAGGAACCGCCGCAGGCCCTGCCACCGACCTCTCCAGCCTGAGGCCAGGAAAACGAGCCGCTGTTTTCTGAAGAAGATTTTAACTTGCACGTTAGCACTACGACAACAACAGGAAATTCCAGAGTTTGGCCTGCATTTGGTATTTTGTGTCTACAATTATGAACAGCATGGAAGAGACACTCAAAAGGTGACGTCAGAATTTCCGAGGTGACCATGTGGCAAATATGGCAGTGGAAATGTGAGATAAATAGCGTATTTTGGCAAAAATTTTACATGATGAGCTTAAGGATCACAACATGTAACAAGGTACTTGAGCTTCCTAGACTCATAGCGCGCAGTTATAAGTGTCAACTCTGGCTGCCACGGACTTCTGAGAAAAGAAAATATTTTAATGGAAATAATGTTTCATCGTAATGAAATGAGGTCAATGCTCAATGACAGTGTTGTTCTCAGCGGATCCTGTGGATTTTCACAAGTCCCATAGCTTTGCAGCCACTTCCCCCCGCCCCCCACGCACGCGCAGATATAACCCCCTCCCACCCCGGACACAGCGGCCAGATGATACCACAGCAAATGCCCTTTTATGGTGGCAGTTGAGGTTAATCTGGTCTTTAGCTGGGGTCTTCGTAGCCCTCCGGAGTCACACATTTGAGATTCTGCGAGGCAGCCTCTCCCTGGGGCGCTCAGCCTGGCTCTCCACACATTTGACAACTACGGGGTCAGGTCGTTGGGAAAATGCGTCTCCACAGGACGTCTTTAACCCCCTCCGAGGCCACCTGCCTCGTGGCTGAGCCCATTACCTTGCCCTCGGGGCGTTAGAACTGGTAAAAATACGCAGGATAGGAACGCCCCGCAAAGGGCTCCACCCGAGTCAGCTCCGCAGCTGCCCTCTGGGTCCTGCCGTGAGCATCCTGGGGCCTCCACGGCCGAGCACGGGCTGAGGGGCCACGCCACTCCCAGGAGAGGAGAGGAGGGGAGGGGCGCCGCCTCTGAGCTCTGGCCCGTGGGGAGCTGACGCCCTCCTGCAGCTCCAGCTCCCTGGCCTGAGGGGCGAGGGGCCAGACCTGCCCCTTTGCCCGGGGCGGGGGGGCCTGTGCCCCAGCCGCGGCCAGACCTTCTCGGTCTCCCTGCCCCTCCGCCTGTCTCCCCTGGGCCTTAGTCACCGACTCGGTGAAGATGCTAAAAAATTCTTCAAAATACTCCCAGAGTGATCTGTGACCTGTGAAGCGGGGCGCCCTTTTGCTTTAAGTTCATGGACAAATAGTTGGGCCTTTCCTAACCAGAGCCTTTGACAACTACGGGGTCAGGTCGTTGGGAAAATGCGCTCCCCAGAGGCAGAAACAGCCAGCATTATACGGCTTCTGCTCCACTCCGAGAATAGATATGTCCATATTTCGTGATCTGGGTACGTGGCAATAATTTGAAATAGCAGCAAAACAGTTTTTTCCGTTAAGAAATAACTTGATTTGTGCAGGTACCCGGTGCTTACAGTAGTTCCGTTCCCTCGGGCCAGTTAGGGAACGGCTAACCCTCGGGTTCTGGGAGGCGGGCCTCGCGCGGCCTGGCGGTGCCGTGGGACAGGCTCACGTCCGTCTCGGTGGCTGGTTCTTGGCGGTGCTATCACTCCTTCAGCAGCTCTTTAATTTTTTCTCTTTGTTGTATTTCTGCTTGACATGTACTTTCTTTTCTCTTAACCTTCCTCCTCATTCTATTTTGAGATCACAACCATTATATAAAGTTCCTCTCAAATCTAATTGAGACGAAGGTTTAAATTGCTTAGCCAGAATCATTTTCTCTCCCCAGCGCCCCTCGCCGCCTCGTGTTTGATCCTGCGGTTTGCTGCACCGCTCGCTTCTGGCTGAGCTTCAGGGCGCCTGCTGAACGCCGCAGCGGGAAGGGCGGCTTTGCTCTGTCCCGTGTCAGGTAGCGGCGCCTACTCCTTTAATAAATAAACCTTCGTTACAGTGAATAGTCTCTCAATTCTCCTTTGTGCGTTTTTGGTTTTGTAGGTAAGCTCTTGATGAAGATGTTATGATTTAACTAGTTTATGTCAAAACACCATGGAATCCGTGTTCTTTTAGAAGCCCTTTCTTCTTACTCAAAATTCACCAAAGACAGCAAATGTAATGGAAGTTAATTTTTTCAGGAACTTTTGAAAAGTTAGAAGACTGGCCCAATGGGAAGGAAAAAAATCAAACGGGTTTGGGGCTGGCACCTATCGATCCGGTAAGCCTGGGAAATGCGTCCGTCTGCCAAATCTCCGATCATCTGGGAATCCCAAAAGTACGTATTTCAAAAACATTTTAAAAGAAGAGCGTCACTGTGAAAATTAATAAAGGACGCTCCAGCTGAAATTGGGACGTGGAAGCTCCCTACTGAGACCTCTCTCCCGCTATAGCTTGTCTGGTGCCCCGCACCCAAAACAAGACCCTGTCAAGTTCAAGCGCAGCTAATTCAGTCAGACCCAACGGGAAGAGAAAACGCAGGCCTGCGCGATCTAAAAAGAAGTAGAAAGTGAAACTCCTGCCTTCCAATTAGACTCCATGACCTCGCAGAGGAAACTACAGAAACTCACAATGTACAAGGCTGGACGTGTTTTTCTAGGGGTGATAAATGTGGCTGAAGGGGCGTTCACGGATTAAGTAGCATGACAGTGAGAGAGAACGTACCGCTGGTGAGACACGTCTGGATCACCACCGAGAGCCAGGCCAGCGACGGGCCGGGGCAGCAGCCAGCTGCCGGCGAGCGCAGCTTTATTTCATCTTCTGGGAATTTTTCTTTGAAAAATAGAGCTTTTATCTTTCACATATGTGATTCGAACCAGACGAATGTATGATTCCTTGGATAATACAATCCTTTTCTAACGCACGCTGTCAGATATAAGTATACACATCTGTAGCTCGACATATTTGCGGTCTTAGGACGAGGGAGCGATAATACAATCGACCCAGTCACTGCATTTAAGGGGTTTGTGGAGTTGAAATTAGATAGGACAACAAAATGTAGGATGGCGTGCCTGTTCTGTTTTGTAGGGAAAAGCCTATACCATTTATGTCATTTTAAACTGAGAAACTGCATGCATTATCTAAGTCTGCCACCTAGTGAAAACCGAGAACTAAATAAGACTTAAATAATAAAACATGCAATTGCAGCAGCTTTTACATTTATGATGTATTGTTTGTATTCAAATGTAATATTTTATATTTAAAAATTTAGTTGTCTACTAGACTTAGATATCTTCAAAATGCTAATGCTGTAAATCTATTTCTGAGCCTTAATATGACCCACATACTTTGTGCATATAGAATATTTTAGAAATGAAATGGCATAATCAGTGTCTCTTCCCTGGGTACTAGGCTCCTAATAAAGCAAGAATATAATTGAAAAATAATAGTTTGTTCTACTTAAAACTTGTCTACGGTTAATGTATGTTCTGACTCAGCAGTGTAAGTATCATTGTGGAGAAGTGTCAAATATCTATGGAGTAGTTCTTGGCCTGAATTAACCCATTTGATACACATTTTTGACATGCCTAGGTATGCTAACCAATATAAAGGTGAAAAATAGACTATACGCTTTATTTCACAGACTACTCAGAACTCTGAGACTAGCTGCAACTGTGTACAAAAGCAAAAGAAACAAACATAAGAACATACAAAATTGGAAAAAAATTTATAAAACACTCAGCTGGTATATTATACAATCATTTTGATCTCCTGTGTGCCTGGAATGATATATCTGAATAACAGGGGTCTGCATGACTCTATAGGTATAGAAACACACTCAGATACCTGAAACGTCAGTTGGGGACCACATGTGACTATCAGCACTAACACAGATATGAAGTCTTCAAGTCCGTATCACCTGCATTGCCTTCTGTAATCATTTCCAAAACTCACTCTTGCCCACTCAGGGGAAAGACTCTAGTCCCCACAGGGAGGGGGCCAGGCCTGAATCCTCAATAGTCTGCCATCCAGCCCCTGAGACTGGATTTCAGGTTGCGTGGTGCTTACTTGTGGAGGTCACCGGCTGCCACCTCTAGAAAATTGTCACCTGCCTCAAGAGAACTCTGTGCAAGGCTGGGGACAGAGAACTGGAGCAGCAGGAAGAGGGAGAAGGGAAACAGAGTGACCAGTGTCAGCCCAGACCAGAGGACCAGGAACCTGGGTAGGGTTTCAGCAGGAGTGGTTACGGTCACTGATCTTGACGGGGAGCCTGGGCGAGGGGAGAAGAGCCCTCGGGGGACTCAGAACAGGGAGAAGGTGGGAGGAGCAGTGGACAGCGGGGCCCAGGGCAGAGAAAGGACCCTGCGGAGGCAGGGGCAGCAGCCACACGCAGAGCTGAGGGGCGCGGAGAAGACAGAGGGTAAGATTACGGGCGCCTCAAGGTCACGGGTGTGACCGTGAGAATGAGTGGCCGAGGAAAGGGATCAAAGAGAGGGTTTGTGGGGGATGGTTGAAATCCTCAGGAACTGTGGCAGAGGCGAGGTTGGCCCCGAGTCTCAGTGAATCAGGAACTAAAACCTTCCAGGCACGTGAAGGTGGAAGCAGAGCGCAGCTATACAATGAAACTGCCACGTCTGCACAACCCGGTCATGCATGTGTCATACATGATATTCCCTGTGTCGCAAGCACCTACAGTGTCTTACTTTTTGTTAATGGAAGACTAGCCTAAGTTAGCATGCGATATTATGAGTTGCTCTTCATAAGAAACTTATAAATTATTACATAAAGTTGCATAGGTTTTTTTTTTTCGCCCTGAAAAAATATTGCTGGATACTTAGCAAAATAATGACACAGTCAGACCTCTGTATGAGCAGGTTCCACATCCATGGATTCGACCAATCTTGGATTTAAAATGTTTGGAAAAAAACCTTACATTATCACTGATGTGTCCTACGTAGTCAGGCCTACGATGTGGACATCTGTACTGGACACATACAGCCTGTCTTTCCTCACCCTTCTTCCCTAAACAATATAACAGCTTTCTAGCATTTCCATTGTATTAGATATTATAAGTAATCCAGAGACGACTGAAAGTGTGTGGGAGGATGCGAGTGCATCATGTGCCAATTCTACATTTTATAGAAAAGATGTGAGCATTGTGGGTTTTGGTATCCATGGGGTTCCTGGACCCAGTGCGCCAAGATTGCAGGTTTCTAATAAACACCAGCATCTGCTCCCAGTGTCTAATTTGGGTATCTAATAGTTCTTTTGAAATTTCTGCTTGAAACTACTCAGTCTAGATGCACATATGCACATAAAAACTGCACAATTTCTAATACATTTTGCTGAAGATAAGTAACCTTAATAGTTTCGGGAGCCAAAGTTACTCATCCATTCACCATTCATTCTTTCAACCTGCCACCGTCCGCAGCCAGGCCCTTAGCGACGGCGCTCTCTGCGTGGTCAGTCACCACGTGTACGACTGCCCGTCGTTACTCTGGTCAGGTGGCTTCAAAGGACTGATTAGAGCCTCACACCTCTCAGTAAGATGGGAATATAGTATTATCTTGGAATCAAAATAATTCACTCAGATATTATATAATAAAAGTCCAATCCATAGTAGTTTTACTATAATAGAAAAAAAAAACAACTCACCAAAATTTAAAATTAAAGTGGCATGTTTAATCAGAATGACCTGGGATATATTCTGGTTAAAACTATAATTAGCTTCTTCCAACCATGGAATTTTTTTAAGTATAATTTTACTTTATTCACCAACTATAAATCTTATTCTTCTGAATTAATTTTCTAGGTCATAATTTCCCTTTTTATTCTCTAGAGGAAAAAAAGAATTGCTTATGTCTGTCATATTTTAAGCATGTGCTATGTTACCTGGAAACCTACTATTTTATATAGCTCAATACGTTAGTTCCATTCTAAATAACCTCCTTATCATAGTAACTTTAGAGGGTGTATTTCTCCTTCTGCAGCAAGAGGTTCTTAGATAAGTTCAGGGTCAGTTTTCCAGGTGCCCTGAGGGAATCTTTGTGTACCTGATTTCAGGCCTTTGCTTTAACATCACAAAGGGTTAACTGCTTTCCATATGCATTTTATATAGATGAGGGAAACCATTTGCACAAGGCTAAGAAGCATACTTCAGAGCTAGTGCCTGCTGGGGCCTCGGATGGCGGTTGTACTGCTCATAACTACAGCAGCTAACATTTATCGAGTGATTGAAAAGCACCTGGCATGTATATTTTTAAATATCTAACAACTTGTGATTAAGACTTCGAGGTTTAGAGAAGGAAAGCAATATGCTGAAGGTCATAGAAACATCCAGGCTGTCTTCTGAATTCCGAACTCGAACTGTAAACAAGTAATCACTGTCACTATAGGTTTTGCTGGCGGGAACTGCGGCCGGGCTGAGTTTGGTTAACAAGGACAGGGACCCAGCGAGCGTTGCCTTAGACTCCGCTCCCCGGAGGGGCGGCAGCTGATCACAGCCCTGGAACCTTCCAGTCCTCGCTACCCACGCCGTAAATGCACACCTCTGGCCACTGCTCCAGGTAAAACCAAAATGAGAACACACAGGGTCCACCGCAAAGCATGGCTGCTGCCGCCCTGCTAGGGTCAAACCATGCAGGAACACCGATTTATTGTTCGACTTATTTTTAAAAGAATTACTGGCCTGGTGTCAGAGATTTAACCGCATGCAGTACCAATCAACCAGTGGTGCTAAATAAACATTGGCTTTATGACGCAAGGAAGGTAGGTGACGTCAGCGTACGCGTCCTGTGTCCCCTCTCGCACCCGCTGTCACGCGGGCTGGGCCGGGCCGGGCCGGGCCGGGCCGGGCCGACCGTCCTCACCTGAACAGCGTCTGCACGTTGACGATGGTCTTGGCGTCGGCCATGTAGTCCTCCTCGGCGCTCATGGTGCTCTCCTTGTCCACCACCACCATGTTCGCCGCGAACGTCACGCCGCAGCGGAGCAGGTCGTCCAGGCTTGGGTGGGAGGCAACAGAGAGAATGGCACTTTCAGCAAAGCGCGGGGCTGGCGCGGGTTGGCGCTCAGGCCTGCGGTCCCTGGCGCCCGAACAGGTGGCTTTCACAGACACGTGCCCTGGCAGACGTCGGTGGGAGTTATCAGACTATATTCTCTACTGATGGGAAATAATGTGTATTTTTTTTAAAGATTTTATTTTTTTACTTTTAGAGAGGGATGGGAGGAAGAAAGAGAGGGAGAGGAACATCCATGTGTGGTTGCCTCTCGAAGGCCCCTACTGGGGACCTGGCCCATAACCCAGGCACGTGCCCTGACTGGGAATTGAACCTGTGACCCTTTCATTCACAGGCCAGAAATAATGTGTATTTTGGGAGATCTTTATATCGTATTAGATCTCAACTATGTCAGTGTATATGCATTTAATAATTATTAATCATATTAATAAAACGTGGTAACAGAACATGTTAGAACTATGTTTTACAGTTCACATGCTATTTCCAAGACATTGGCCCTTCCTTTTTTTTTTTTAAGCCCTAGAATGCTTTTGGTAAGAGTAAAAATGAACGTTATGCGAATTGGGATGGTCCAGCCTTAGAGAGATACCTAAACCCGTGAAATGTTTATGAGAATATCTAGTCTTTCTTTCTGGGACGCTCTGTGTCACAGACAGGCTCTGCCCCCCAAGGGCGTGCGCAGCATAGGAATGTGGTGGTGCTTGAGCCTCCCGGTTAGTTAGCCTCAAGTTTTGAGTAAGTGTTTGAATAACCTGATATCCCTGGTTGTGTTAAATAGTTGTGCTAACCCAGCACACAAGTCCCTATAGGTCATGATAGAGTCTGTCTCCATCATTGACAAGAAGTCCACCTGTCACTGAATGAAAAGAGAATGTGACTATCGGAGCTGAAGCAGGAAACCATTATCTCATTGCCTCTGCGTCACACAAACTGGAAAAATAGGTTTGAATCAGGGAAGAGGAAACTTGAATGAGTATAGCAGTGTCCTAGGTGTAGAGGTGATTGAAGACAGATAAGAATCGGCCTGACTGGCTTCCAGGGCTTCTGATTTAAAAAAAAATGAAGGGGGTGGGGGGTGTAAACCATAAAGACCAGCAGTTCCTTTGAGATTCTGAAACTGAAGAGCCGGTTGCCTGAAGGTCTTTTCCAACTGCTGATTGAATGAGGTGGAGGGCCTTGTTTTCCTCCCACGGGAGGCAGGAGGCAGGATTTCTTCCTCTGTTTTAAGACGAGGGAGCATCACCAAAGGCTTGAGCCCAAGGTCCCCAGGAGGAGTCCGGAAAAAATACGGCGGGAACAAAATGTTATTCCAAATAAGTTTCCTGTGGTGGCAGTGGCTGGGGCCCTGACAGCCGATTAGTGTGGCAACTGAGCTAAACCCCCAGGGGAGCTTTACTTGGAGGTCCCTTCTATCCAGGAAATCATCGTAATTGTTCTTATATCTATTAAAATACATTAAAGAAAGAAGTAGGTGGAACAATGAAAGTGATATGGTCCCTTATGGCCCATGAAAATTATTACTTGGGTCATATGCTTTTGACCCACATAATTATAATTTTATATCACTTTTTGATATTTCAGCTCTTAAAATCTTTTCTCCACCATTAAACATAAAAATCTGTCCCTTATACTTATGACATAGAAGGGAAAGATAGATGGTAGAAGGTAGACTTGCCTAGAAAAGACATACAGACAAAAGTTATGATAGGAAAAATGACTGTCATCAGCAATAAATCCCTCAAATTGAAATTTGACAAAAATTCCCCTATGAAAGCACCTGTGCTAGACAGCTAATTAAGATATCAGCTAATTACATACCCAAAGTACTGGCAGTTGCTTATATATAATCTTGGCAAAGGATGTTAATTATTATTACATATGAGTTTAATTCCATCAAAAATATTTTTAACAAATTGGAATGGAATTTCTGAACCCCGTGGACACATTTATGCTCTTTGTGTTTCAACTTTATTATATTTCAATTCATTTAATGTTGCATTATATCCTCTTTTCCCTTTTTTTAATTAAGCCGCCAATTTATTCTTATAACTATCACCCTTTCTTCCGCATCCTACCAACAAAGTGTCTTCAGCATGGTTGCTTTACACAGTTTGGCCACCAGATGGAAGCCTAAGAAAAAAGTCAACAGATGGAAAAAAGCGACTGACAATGTAATTGGCAATGTTTCCCTTCTAGGCTTCTCTAAGACTTTCCTTTCTTAGTAAAGTCTTTCCTTTCTTTACTAAAGAGAGAACTAGAATGTAAATGTTAGAGTGTAAGGTAGTTCTTCTGAATGTGCTGTAATTAAAAGGGTTTTTTAAGGAAAATTTCAAACAGGAGCTAAAGAGAATAGTGAACCCTGATGTACCTACCAGTCACCCAGCTTCAATAATTATCAACCTGTAGTCAAAATCCTCTTTCATCTCTGATAGGAATTAGATGCCCTCAGGTCTTCTCCTCACCATGCATACTTTATAGAGGAAGAATTCATTTCATAGTTTCCATAGGCAAAGATGGGTGGAAGGTTCATTCCTTGTCTTTTAAATATCCTATTTTTCTAATGAATTTTAATTGAATACTATCATTTCAAAGAAACATTCCTAGTGATTAAACATGGATTAAGTTCCCTTTCATAAATTTACATTGTAGTTAGTAGGTTAGCATTGTGACAAGTGAGAATGTAAATTTTAACGTATATTGAGGCTAAATATATGTCACTCTGTTTGGTCTTTGACATACCCACAGCCAAAACACTTTCAAAGTTATAGGACAGGGTGAAATGTAAGCATGAAAGTTCTCAATTGATAAAATTAAACATTTTATTTTGAAGGCTCTGGCTGACATTTTTTTAAATAAAAAATTAACACATTTTATAAGCATATTAGTTTTACGATCTTTTAGTACTTATATTTTTATAGTGTCATGTTCATGCATATAAAAGAATTTGTATTTAATACTAAACCATTGCACACATTTGACCTTTTAATTAACAGATTTTTAGAAATTATGAACTCTGATTTATGTTCCTAAAGTAAACTCATAAGGAAATGCTCCATTTCATAAATCTGACTTAAAATGAGCATTTGTGAATTCTCTGGAAGGTTTTCTGAAGTTATGATAACAATATCAATGCACCACAGTGCTGAAGCTTTAGGTTCTTCTCCACCAGGCATCAAAAGTAATAATGTTACTGCTGTAGATGACACAAAACTGAAACAACTCTAGACACTGGACAAAACTGACAAGGTCGACATGCAGCGAAATTTGCTTCGATCCCCGCCCCCCCCAGATTACTGCTTAGGAAGCTTGAACACAAGGTGGCCACGACACAGCACAGTAAGCTCTCCATGCAGAATGCATCGCGTGTGCAACGCCAGGACGGCCACCTCCACTCGTCATGCAACACGGGGCACAGCGCGCGGCGGGCCGCAGGACACACACTCGTGAGCGGGCCACAGGCTTCGTCACCTACTTGTCGATAGAGCCCACCATGTAGTAAACCATTGGAAACCAACAGATTGCGTCCAGAAAATGTATGTCTGGCCTAAGTGGCAGATGGGTCACAAAATGAAACACAGCGTCACAAGGGGGTAATACTTCCGGGGAAAGGACGTTGACTTAGTTTGCATTTCCAAAATTAAATGCCATCGAGGAGATTAATTTTAGGTGCTTTTTTTTTTTCCCTTAATATTTGTTAAACAGTGTCATTTGCACTTGTTATGAATAATAGGGTGAACTCAGAATTACAAAAACAACTTTTCAGCTTTGTAAATCAGAAACATTATGGCGTTATGCTACAAAAATACAGAATTGATACTCTTAACTATGACTAAAAAAGTCTTATCAGTGAATTTAAAAATTATTCATGCAGAGGAGGCCTTGTATGTTTTTCTTAGGTGACTCAAAGGAGCTAAATTAGCCTGCCTGCTAAGAGCAACTTTCTCTAAGGGATATACAGAATTATATCCCTTAGTATATCAACATATCAGTAAGTAAATATAGTATATGTACCGATAGAATATATGCATTGCATAAAATGAAAGTAATTCAACTTTTAAAGTATTGAATTTCTCAATCTATAGTTGAATAAAACATGCTGAAATTAATTAGTAATAAAAAATAAAAATTCAACAAGTAGAAAATAATTGATATTAGTTACAGAAATAAAATGTGCACCACATTAGTCAAAGTCCTAACTATAATTATCTTAAAAAGTGGACTATCCATGAGTCAGAAGCATCATGTCCTCACAAAAAATGTTTCATTATAAAAAACTGCCATTATATGCAAATATCAACTAGCTAGTTACTGCTAGGAAATGAAAAGGCTTGTGAATTTGCATGGATCTGAAAAGTTGAAGGTCATTATTTTCCATTTTACGAATTACTATAATAAATTTAATTTTGTTATTTCCAATTCAAGAAATGAATGTAGTGAGACAGTTTGTTTTATTGGCATTCCATAAGTTCACTGTTAAGTAGTTTATTTCTTCCCTATAAATATATAAGTAGTTATATTTCCACTACTTGAAATAAATTACCCTTTTCCCATTAATTGGGTTTTCAATCTGCCCATCAGTTTGAATCTTGACAAGGTCATTTTCTTGATTGGTAGAAGGGAGGGGAAACTGCCACTTCCTGACTGATTTTTATGAGCCCGATTTTTGCACTAGTCTTAAGATCAATGTTGTACTCATTTTACAAGTGAGAAAATTGGGGTTTAGAAAAATTTGATAGCATGCAACAGCCTATGGAGAGGCTGACCTTAGACCGTGTGTCCCATCTGTGCGAGTCCCAAGTGTGAACGCCTTTAATGAGAGAGCGCTGATCTATCGGACAGTTTACCCTTGCTTTTGACATAAGCAGAGCTGACGTTTGCTTGCCTCCCTCTGTGAAAAGGAGACTGATTCAATGAAGAGCTAATGTAAACAAGATGCTGTAAAAATTAGGGATGGAAGCCTAGACCTCGCACTTCAGCTTTGCTTTGCTTTGGGTTACGTGCTCCAAAGTTTTCGACCCTCTTTTCCATTTCCCATGAAATGCTATTGTCAGAGGACAAGATGACGTTTCGCACTGAGGTGGCAATCATCTTTGAAATCATGATGACACAGCAACAGGACCTACGGCCAGCCAGTCAGAGCTGAGACCAGTCCCAGTGAACCAGCGTCAGGTGAAGGACGCTCTGCGGTGCCCCTCGTTTTGACCAGTTACCAGAAGGGAGCCGGAAGACTTTTCATTTGAAAACACAGAACATACATTTTGAAATATTAGATGTGTGAATATTATAAATTTAATTTATATATTCAAATCCATGTTCGTCAGGATTTTAAATGTTTTTATTTCTGTTATATTGACTTTATTGGTCTTTCAACCAAATTTCCTAGGTAGCCACATACTGCGTATTATTTTCATCAATGCTCAGGATGCAAAGTAAAATTCAGCCCCCCTAAGCTAACTAATACCTATATTGTGTGCAATCATTAGGGTGCAAATTCCTAGAACATGGAAACATATTTAAAATTAAGCATTCTATTCAATATTTAGCAGTAGTAGTGTGCACTGCAAAATACTAGCCACTGTAGAGCAACAAGATTGCCTTCTTGGAAAAAGGATTCCATACAACTTCCTGGAACCTGACTTAGTAGTGTTTAGTTTCTGTGTCCTCATTTTTGATCAAAGGAACAGAGGACAACAGATAAAAATATTAGCTACCACTTTGAGGAAGTACCCAGAAGCTAATAAATTTTACAGCATGCACAGTTAAACCCTCTGGAAAAAATCAAACCCCACAAAAATCATCTAACAGCCAACAACATGGGGTTAGTTGGATTGCAAGATGTTAAGTCATTAGAGAAGCAAAGGAAATTTTTAGTGCAAAATAATCCAGCGCTAAAATACAATTCTTGTTTCTAAAACAGAACTGACCTTTCTTTTTTTTTGGCATATATCAAAAACCTGTAAGTTAGGTAATATCTTATAGTTGAAAGAACAATGAACTATAAATGGCCTAGAAGGTTCTAATTCTAAAATTGCCCTGGGCTTGCAATTTGCAATTGGCTTCTAAAGTGGCGGGTTGGGGGCATTCTTATAGGATTGAGCCCTTATCCTGTGAGCGCGGATCTGTCCCTGGGCAGCTAGTGTCAGGACTGTGCTGAATCGTCAGACCCCCAGCTGGCGTCCCCAGCCAGCGTTGTTTGCTGGAGGTAAGGAGAACGCCCACCCCCAACATACATTGAAATTGGGTCCTGCCAATGATATAAATACCTTGATATTGGTATGTTCAGAGTAAACAATACCGTGAACTTGTCATATATTGGGGAGCTATCTCTGTTTTGAGAAGTTTCGTTTGATAAATTCCAAAGGCAGAGACAAAGCAACAGATTGTGGCCTCATTCAGTTTATCCTGAAATTTGCATCACTTTGGGATCTAAGAGGAGAGTTGGAGGATCCTAAAATACGTTATTGATCTAAGGACCATCTGCTGCTAATTGTGAGTCACAGAGAGGAATATTATAATTTTAGGATGCAGTAAGTTTGATAATAGCACTCAGCGACCTATATTTACGTTGGCGTAAGGATTTGGAAATGCTTGCGTAGCCTAATTTCACAAGAGTATAGAAGTCCAACATTTTCCAAATTCATGAACAGGGTAAAGCATTCCTTATTCGTGTTATGCTGTGAAATGTATACTTTAACAGTGGAAGAATCATAATAACTCATGGCACAGCATAAAATGGATCATTAATATGCTTCTCTGGTAATTGATGGCTCTTTACAAAGACCGCGAAGTGTCCTGTTTGGGCGGGGCTCTTCCAGTCTAGTTGATTAATTTGATGAAAATAACTGTAATTATTTTGGTGGCATGTGTCCCACTGGAACTGAGCAATGACCACTTGTAAAACCAAAAAGCTCAGGGTATTCCAGTAATGTTTTAGGTCATATTTGTGAAATACAGCCATATGCAGTGATTAATTTGTACCATAGTACAGCATACATTGCCCAATGAATCACATGCCATAATGTGTCTGATTTAAAATATTATAAGCAAATGGAAACAAATTATTTTTGATATAATATTAAAAAATCTTCATCTTGTTTGTGTTATTTACTTATAAATATACTTACGGGTTATCCAATAGCAGTATAATGGGATTGAGCTCTTTCTTTGGTCTATAATATGCCCTGAGAGGAACAATAAAATTATACAATCCATTTCCAGCTGTTTCAGCTGCAACTATGATTAGTTTATTTTTGAATCCATAGGCTTTTGCATCTTCATAGTAGTTATGCTGACAGCTCTAAAGAAGAAAAATGATACAAAGAAATGCCAGTTTTATACCCCACTGAAATTTAGTGAAAGGAAAATTAGGATATATGGGTATATAAAATTCATCTAACCTAGTAAATTCTTTATTTTCTAACAAACTTGAAAATAGTTACATTTCTCTATGCCCAGTTCTCCATCAAGTTTTAGGGAATGATGTGTGTGATCAGACAAATATATTGCAAATATATAGCCTCATGTGGAGGAAGAAAGAGCAACATATGTGTACACATGTTGTAAAGTAAACTTGTTGCTAGGTGATATGGGGTGTCTATATTTAAAAATTTTTGCAATGTTTATGTATATCAAAACATTATATATTGCAAATATATACAATTTTTACTTGTCAATCATACTTCAGTGAAGCTAGAAAAACTGATTTGCCTGTGACTTTCATTTCCGTGAATAAAGTGATATTATAATTAGAGAACCCTGAACATTCCAGCACAGAATGGCTGAAGGGATTCTGTGGCTGTTGGAATGAGACTCCACAAGTTTGCGAGTCGGGTGCCTCTGTGGCTCGTTGGGTGACTCCACAGAGAGACCAGGCAGCTAAGAAAGTAAAACCCACCATTTCACATGCTGTGCTTACATTTGGAAAGATAGTATGTTCGAACCTATTTCACCCTGTACAAAATTATTTAATGTATAGTAGACTGTAAAATTGAGTTGAATATTAAGTAATTATAAAATAGCATAATTTAAATTTGCAGAAAATAACAGTAGCAAATGCTTACCTTGTCTAGTCTCAAGCAGCAAAATGGCACTTTTTCATGGAGGAGATGGCAAAATGTGGGTGAACTCCCTATGTAGGGAGAGTAGGGTGGGTAGCCTTTAGCGTATCTGCAAAGCAACATGGAATTCTGCATCACCTTGAACCGCAGGTGCAAAGCTGGACAATTAACATGCAGCTGTGATCCTCTATTTTGATAAAGCTAGAGACAGGGACTTTACGTTGTAGTTACATTTTGATAAGGAAATAAGACTAGAAGGTGGAGGCAGACCAGGGCCCATACACCAGATCTGGCCTGTTGCCTGGTTTTGTGAATTGAAAGTGGTTTTTATATATTTAAGTGGTTGGGAAAAAATCAAAAGAAGAATACTCTTTCATGTTGCGTGATATGTGAAATTCAAATTTCAGCGTCTACAGGTTTTTTTTTAGGACACAGCCCAGCTCTCCATTTATTGTATTTTCTCTGGGTGCGTTCATGCTTCTAAACAGACGTGAGTAATTGCAGCAGAGACCATGTGGTACACAAAGTCTACAGTATTTACTAGCTGGTTCTTTACAAAAAAAGTTTTCCAATCCCCAGTTTAAAAGATTTAGATAGATTTAAAAATAGTAATGTTAATTTTCACAGAGCATATTTAAAGCAAAATACAGTATCATGATTCACTCTATCAATATTCATTAGTTATGGATGCACTACTAAAATGGAGTAAATATTGAATTAATTATTGAGTTAAACACCCACCAAAAAGAGTTTATGCTGGAATCATGCTTAAAATATCGTCAAGGATATTCAGTTTGCTGACTTATAAAAATAGCCAGCTGCACATTTTGGCTGTGCTAACTTTCAAAATGAGACTGTCAAGAAGTACCAGCATGAATGAAAATTAAGAAATAAAAGGGAATTTACTGGAGGCAGAATTCCTGTATTCAATCTGCACAAGTTCCCCTTTCTTCTTGACAAAAAAAAAAAATTACCTTCTAAACCAAGAAATTTCAAACCCAGCTGGAACTGCTGTCCCGACGTCATCAGCTAGGAGGATGCAATGGTGCACACTTGGCAAACTTAAAAGTCGAGAATTCTCTCACTTCCTCTTTTTTATTTTTGAGAAATAAAAAAATCTCTACTTCTTCATCTTTTTAGAAGTTTGCGCAATGAAAGAATTTCAGTCACACCCCACAACATCATTTCTGGCAACACACTGGTGGCCAAAGCTCTCTTTGTTCTTCCTCGCGAGTATTTCTTAAATGTCCTTGAGTCCACTGGACTTCTTAGAGAGTGGGCTGTGTTCTGTGGCTACATCACAGCTCCAGGTAATAAGTTCTTACAAAGTGTGAAGAATTAAAAAAAAAAAAAAAGACTTTTCCAAGTTTCAATTATATTTCAGTTCTAGTTTAATCCAACATTAATTGGTTCCCTATTTTATGAAAAGTATTGGGAGGGGTGTTTGAAGAGTGTTACCGTTGCCGCCACTACAGATACCACCCCTAATACTAATTAGTATTAGTAGTCCTGATACTAATAACTAATGCTCACTACATGCTCACTCTGCACAGAAAGCATTCCCTGCACATTTTCCGTATGATCTCAGTCTTCATACGGCCTTTATGAGACCACAGCAGCGAGCACACTCAGTTTGCGGGGAAGACACTGAGGATTTGTTTGATCAAATTCACTCGCACAAAGCGCTATGAAGTGTAACCGTGATGGAAAAGCGGTCATCCTGGACTCCCCGGTCAAGGCTGTTGACCACTGAGCTTAGCGTAAGCAGAACTATAACGTGGGAATACAACAGGTAGACAAACTCTCATGAAAGCTAAACGTGGTTAACAGCATGCACGTCGCTACTATTTACGGTGGAAGCCAAGTGAAGAGAACAGGTACGTTTATTCATCTGTTCGGAATGCTGTTGCTGCAAATTACGTGAAAAACTGCTGCACACAGAGGCAAGAAGGGATGTTCAATGGCGGAAGTTCTGTCACTTGGCATGGAATACCTGACTGAACTTCAGGAGGGACATGGAAGAAGTCAATTAAAGGTAAAAGGTACAATATAACTTAACCCAAGACAACAGTTACAAAAATGCAGCTTGTATCATGAAAATAATGATTTATGTACTCTTTAAGGATAAAAGATACGTAAGAGAAAACTGTATCTAGAAATATACAGGGTGGGGCAAAAGCAAGTTTACAGTTGTTCCTATGGCATATAATCCAATAATTAATAAATAATAATACAAGAACAAACTGTGTTTCGTGTACTCAGAACTGTAAACCTACTTCTGCCCCACCCTGTGTGCTGAAGTCTGAAATCTGCAGACTTGGGAATACTTGGCCATCAAGATATCTACTGCCTGGCAGGAAGGCTATTTTGGGAGAAATGTAGAAGACCGATTCGAGGATTGATTCTGGGTGGCAACAGTCCCCAGGTCAAGCACAAAGCCCGCGAAATCTCAGGGTATCTAAACGTACTCCATATTGGAGGACAGTGTCTCCTCCGGCGGAGCTTCATCCTCTGACTGGTCGCTGAGAAGATCGCAGGTTTGGATAGATGACGTATCGGCGACCTCCAGCACAGGGGCAATGCTAGGTCTTCGGACCTCTTTGATTCCTTCTGTGGGAAGGGACAGGGTAGGGCCGCTGGCCGATCGGCAGCTCGTGTCCTGCAAGTCTATGGCCACAGTACCTGATATGACGAAACATGAAAAGCCATCAGAGCATCTGCCACTGTTTGGATGTAGCCACCGTTTAATGGTCAAAGTGAAATGAAAGACAATCAGTATAACAAGCATATCTTGTTTATCCTTTCATCTCAAAGATTATTTATATCTTTTTCATGCGGGCATTTTTGCCCACTTGGACAAAAAAATACTGTATTTGTATAAAAGTGTGTATTTGCTGAGTCTAGCTCTATAGCATAAAATATAAGATCTGTGAAGTGCTGAAATGCTTAGGAATTTAAAGTAAAAAAAAAATCTCTTGTTTTAATATACATTTATATAAAATTAACAAAACAATTCTTGGCTATTTCAATTCTGTGGATTCTCAGAATTGAAATAGCCTCATGGTATTCCCCCCCGCTTTTGGTGACTTATCTTTCTTTTACTGATCTGTAACCACTTTTTATATTAGAGCCGTTCATATTTTACATTTCTAAAACATACTTACTGCATACCTTCTATGCAACAAGCACAATTCTAGGCACTTGAAATACGCTGGGAACAAGGCAGACGAGGTTTCTACGTATATGGATTTATCTTTATACTAATCAAGTAGACAAATAAGAAAAGGCATTTTAGGTGATGATAAATACCGTGCAGAAAGTAGGCAGAACGATGTGATGAAGAACAGTGGCACTGGGGACAGGAGAGAGAAACCGGCTCTGTGGGCAGGGGGGCTGCTCTGAAGCCATGACCCCTGACTTCTGACCTGACAGGCAGTGAGGGGCACAGAAGCGAAGGGGAGGCCGGGGGACGTAAGCGTAGCATCCACGCAGCCCCAGGCCTTTCCCTCTCACGGTCACAGCCTGGGTTTTGTAAATTCTAGTTATCGCCCCTAATCTCTGCTTCTGGTTTCTCTTTCTCTTTGACACCTTCAGCACCTGTCTTTCCAGGTGGAATTAGAATCAATTAATCCCCTACCTTTTCAGTCTCTTCAACCACCAGGTATCTTTCACTTTTTTCCCTAAACAAAGCCCATGGTCCAACAACCTGTTTATTCACTCTCTTTCATATGCTCCCAACGTCCATGAGGGGACGATAAGATTCCAGGCCACCTACTGACGACAACTCTTTTGAGAAATTTATCTACAAAGATTGTTGGTCCAGAGCGTGTACATGAGTGTGTGTATGTGCGCGCGCCTGTGCGCAAATATGGAGAGAGAGAGAGAGAGAGAGAGAGAGAGAGAGATGGACCGGGGAGGGGGGGAGATAGGAATTTGCCAGTGTTTTTGGAAAAAAATGAAGTTAGATAATGAGGAGGAATTAAAATAAAGAGTGAAGCGCCGTGGAGTAGAGAGAGATCAGCCCGTAGCCCATGGGACGGCATTAATGTGAGAGACAAAACAAAATGTTGGTAGGTAGTTTGGTGGCAAAATCTTTAAGAGATTATTACTTGTCTGGACTTTCTTCAAAGTTAACTTCTAAGTCACAGAAGCCAAGTCGAATGCTGAGAGTGAGATGAAACATGGAAGGGGAGTTTTAAGAAAAACAAAGAAGATTTGAAATGGCCTCTTGACACCTGGGTGGAGAACCCACAAATGAAATATAGGCCTGTCAGGTTCTTACATCCTAATCAGAAACATAAAACAAGTGTTGGCAGCTTTGAATGCGCTTAATTTTTACCAGCTTAACAGCTGAGAACGTTTGTTCTGTATATTTAGTTACACCAAGTTTGTAATACAAACAAGTACGTTCTAAATTTGACTTCGAGATTTTAATAAAGTTGAAGTATACTTATTATATTTTTAGGAAGAACAAGAGGTCTTTTCAGATGCGTTTGGTCTTACCCATGCTGGCAATTATGCTGTGGACAGGGAGTCGAGAAGGCCCGTGGTAAAACGATCGGGGTGCGTTGCTTCTTTTCTGCTGGTCTTGGTGCTTAAATGCTGAGTTCTCTTCTTTGGTTATATTAATGTAAAAACAGATATCTGTAGCATTCATAATGTATCGAGGACCTGGATTCAGTAAAATGTTTTTATTATCCTCCCTCCTAACACCAATCAAGCAGACACCAAACCTTAATATAAAAAAGACAATAGAAGAGTTTAAGAATTGTAATTCAGCAAAGGTTTTAGTTTTGTTTTCTTAAGTTTGCATACGTAAGAAAATAATTCAACTATTATAAAGCACGTGAAAATTAAAGCCCCGAGTCAGAGTCTTTTAGAGCTTGAAAGTATCCTAAAAGTTTAAGATTCTTAACTCTTATATTTTTTAAAGGAAAACTGTGTCCTTAGTATGATAAGAAGTCAATTTGGTTGATTATTACATATGTATGTATGTATATACATGAAGAAGAAGGGAATAGAAAACATCAGAGTACATACCATATAGTAAGGGTAATAAGTATTTGTATATTTTGTGTGTGTATACTGGGACCTACCACAAAATGAATACCTTACTTTGGTCAGAAAAGGTAAAACAGAGTTTCTTACTTTAGTCAAAAAAGTTTGATCGCCATTGGCCTAAAGGAGAGGAAGGAACTGACCCAAGGTCTCATGAGAGTCAGGGTCCTTGACATTTATTTTTGTTCTGTTCCTACCATATTTGGTTTATGTGAAGTATTAGGGGGAAAAAATCAAATCGCCTTGAATAGGTGTGTAGTTTAATTAGGAGAAATAACAGGCACTTAATGTAACAAATGTTGCCTAAAAATAACTGCTTTTCCAGATTATGCTCCAAAAGCAAATTATCCTGAATATTTACATTTTAACTTGTCTTACAGTGTTACAAATAAGTCAAGCTTAAAGATATTTTTTAAACATCGGAAGTATATGTACAAATAAAATCATATTGAGAGCAGAATACATTGGATATTGGAGTAGTGAAATATACTAGGTATAATACAGATCCGAAAAATGTTATATTAATATAGTACTGATAACATTATTTTCATAAATATACATTTTTATTTCTAAAGTAAATACTTCATAAAAAGAAAATAATGTTGTGTTTGAATCAGAAGGAATTATCATTTACTTTTTAACTTCTCTTGCCAAAACAAGTTTTTAAAAATGTCTAGTTTCTATAACTTTTATCATTACTTTGTTTAAATTTGTAATCAACAGTTCAAAATTCACCACTATATAAAAAAACTCATTTTTATATGTTGTGAATCTTTAATGGATTGGAATCTTTTCAAGAAAATTTAAAAGTTGCTAAAGTAAGTATTTCTAGTGGATGACACTCTGCACCTGTCGTCGGCGGGACCACCCAGGAGGCCCGAGTCAAATGCCTCAGTAACCACGCGGAATCTCAGAATGTCTGCCGCGCGTGGGCACCGGCGCGGCTTGCGTTGTAGGAAACCGCGTTTCAGAGGTCTGACTGAGCCCCGTTTTCACGCCACCCCGAGGCGGACACGTACTTTTTGTGCGCGTGGAAGGAGGCGTACGTGAAGCTCTTCCCCTCGTACTCGGCGAAGAAGGTGCTGTCTTCCAGGGTGATGTGGTACACCTCGTTGCCGGAGCACCTGCCGTACGTCTTCTGCCACTGCTCCGGGGACTGCTGGCCCTCCCTGCAACACACGCGCGCGCAGCGCACGGCGCACGCGGAGAGACGCGGTGAGCGCGGTCCGCGCGGGCGGGCGCCCCTTGCAGCGGCAGGCGACACGCGCGGGGGGCGCCCGCACCGCGGCGATGCTGCCCAGAAAGGGGGAGGTCTCCGCAGTCCGGCCACTGGAAGCGGCTCTCCTGGCCAGGGAGCGTTTGGCTTTCATCTCTGGCTGTGTCTGTCCCCGTCATGCGCGGCCACATGGTTTTCTGGAATCGGAATGGCCCGCTTGGTCCCACGTATGGGACCCGAATTGCTTTATATTTAAAATTATAAATGGGTACATGTCCACTTTGCCATTTGATTCATAGAATGTATACTCTTAATCTCTGTCTCTATCATACCCGTGGCTTTCTTCCAATTGTGTGGTGTTAAGAAAAGAATATTTCTTTGTGATACAAGTAAGGGTCTCCAAAAGTGATCCCCAAAGTATTTTTTTAAATAGATTTATCACAGGAGGTGCAGCTACTTTTATTCTGGTTCTGTCTGCTCAGTGGCCTTGAAAATACATAAATTATTCAACCTATGAAAAGTTTGTTGTAAATTCTCAACAGCCCTTCTTTCCCATTTTATACAATTCCAATTACTTTGGCTGAATAAAGCTTGTGAACTCCGGCAGGCACAAGAAATGCACATTTAGGAAGAAAAGTGATAAATAAATAAAAAGCCAGATATTTCCTAATCTCTGTAGATTCTGGGTGGATATAAGCAGATAAGAAGTCCTATCAACCACACAAAGGGTTTCAAAGACCATTTTAAACTCTGCGTTTTCTCTAAAGGATTACTAGGGAGATAAGACACTTAGCAACACTAGCGAAGTGTCAATATGTTTTTTAAAACCATACATTTTCAAGGTGCATTTCTCTTCATTTCCTCTTCACGGTGCTTAAGGGGCCCTGAGATCGGATGGTCTCATCTGAATCCTCGCTGCACTCTTGTGAGTTATTTAACTTCTCAGCGATTCTTCCCCACTCCCGGGAGAAACATGTTCTGCCTCACTGGGCTGGATAAAATGAGGTGATGGAAATAGATCCCCGAGCAGATGCCGCATCGCGGTAATCGCTCAGTAAATGTTAGCCTCTGCGGCAGCTTTGCTCTTACGGCTTCCTCATCGCTGTTCTTTAAAGCCACTTCCAATATGCCTCGTCAGCCTACTGAGCAGTAATGCTCTTAAAACCTTTACCCTTCTGTGATGTTACCACATCTTTTTGGAAACAGGAAAATAAAACAGAACACTTTTGATGACTGAGTGCGTCTAGCTGTGCCTAGCAACCACTTCCTAAGAACGGATGTTACCGGTGGGGACATTGTTCCCTTTGGAAAACAGAAATAAAATTCTTTGTCCTGCACCACGTCGCTGCTTGGCAAAGGCAGAATGCATTTAAAGAGCTGGGAATTTAAGAGAAGACGCTCGTAACCTGTCTGGGTTTGTTGTGGGCCCCAAAAGGCAGTCTGGGCCCAAATCATTGTCACACAAGGGTACAAAAGCTATTCGAGAGAATTATAAATTTAACTCCAAGGGCTGACATGGGAACACAGCGGAGTAACTTGGAAGGGAACATCACTGTCATTACAAAGCCTTCAGACCGTACTCTGCTGGTCTCTCAAGTGTCATCTGGTCCTCCCACCTTCTATCTCTCGTGGGCTCTGGCCACAAGCAGCCTTTCAGTTCCCTGAATGAGGAACTTGAACGTCAAGGTTTTTTCCCCACGCCCCTCCCTCGGTCTCTTAGTCCTCACCTAGTCTCTGGCCCGTGGACACTCGTGACCTCCTCAGCTTTGCCGCGTTAGACTCCCATAATTCTGTCTTGCCAAAGGGTGTTCATGAAGCCTTCGCTTGGAAGGCGCTCCACGGAGAAGGAGTCATGTCTTGTGTACTGCCGTCTCTGAGATCTGACATGTGTTCTCACACCGGCAAGTGCCAAATAAATGTTTTGTTTAACGAACACAGAATAATCTAACAATGTTCTTCAGGCTCAAATACTAAATGTTCTGCTTTTCTAATTACCAGAACCCTTCACCAGAACCATTTTTGGGGTCTGGTCAATTACTTTCACTGGGATGAATTTGCCATTAGAATTGGGGGGGGGGGTGCGGAAATCACTGAGTTCCGTAAGCATTAATGACCATGAAAGGAATTTAGCTTCAGCAACAGTGAAAACACAAAAGATATTAGGAACAAAAAGCACAGGATGGAGACCTCAGTAAAAATTATGAAAAGCCACTCAATGAAATTTAAGATTTGTTTACGCTAATGAACATGCAGGGGAGATGATTGGCTTGTGCACGTACTTCCTGTTAAGGTACATGCCAGTGAAACAGTCTCGTCTGGGACCTGTCTCTCATCCCTGCGAGGCTGCCCTCCTGTCCCAGCTGATAACGGGATCGTCATGCATTGCCCCTACATAGGTTCACGCCCGCCCCCGCTTTATTTTCAAAATCATCACCAGCCCCAGCTGTTTGTAAAGGTACTAGTAGGAAATGAAACAAAATAAAAATAGGACTATGAAAATAAAATAGTCTACGGAGAACTAAATGAAGTGCAGAATAACAGCGTGTGCTGGATACGTGAAAGAAAATCTCTTTGAAATTTTTATTTCCCCTGAATGGGGGGTCGCGCCTTAGAATGCACAGGCCTAACCCCGTAGTCACGAGAGCCTCGGAGAGACTTCAGCGGGCAGCCCAGCGGGGAAGGAAGCTCCTGTCCACTGTTCTACACGTCAGACCCTCCACTCCTGTCTTCGTGAGAGCACTATTTGAAATAAGGAAAGAGAAAGTGCACGAAAAAGAGAATGGGTTAGGAGAAAGGAAGAAAGCTATTAAGGAAGTGACACGCTCTGTGGTCACTGTCCTCAAGACCTTGCACCTCTGATAAGTCTTCCACCCCTGCCCCTTCCCAGCGTCCTGGGCAGACCCCTTTCCTTCCAAGCCATACTCAGCGACGACAAAGCCAGCCCGTCGGGAACTCCCGCCCTCCCAGCTCGCCTCCTTCTCCCTGGGAGGGCCCCTCCCTGGAATAATTCCACCTGGTCCTCTGCGTCTGTCCGGTGGAGATGTGGGAAGAGCCACTGGTGGGGAGCGAGGGCAGCCCTCTCTGTATTCTCGTTCACCCTCCCTGTCTTACTTCCCAAGAGGCTTCTGGCTTCTTGGGTTTCCTTACTTGGGGCCAGCACCCCTTGAGGGGGTACAAGAAAGGTAGCACCGATGTTTTCAAGCCATCAAATGAGGGGCAGGAAGTCCACGCATGGAGGTGAAGGCAGTTCCCTGCTTCTGCTGTCTCCTTCTAATTCCCCTTCCCTAATGTTTGTAGCATCACCGGGAACCACACGAGCAGATGTCTGCCTGGAAAGGGAGCTGCCCCTTCCCCCGACCCCCCGCAGACATGGTGGCTGGCGGGGGTGGGGGGTGGCGTGTGCAAAGCTCCGTGTGGCTCTCTCCCCAGACCCGCCTTCTCCTTCTAGAAGAAGGTGGTGAGCCTAGAAAAAGGGGTGCACGACTCTTCTTTCTCCTCCGTTGGGGTTCAAGTCGTTCATCCTGGGACAACGTGAGAAGTCCCTCCTCCATACACTTAAGTATTGGTTTACCAAAAAAGTGTGTGCGTTCTATTCTGCCGATGGTTCCTCAGTTAGAAACCCCATCTGTTCCCATTGATTTTTGAATGGCACATAAATCAATTTTGAAAACAATATTTGCTTTTTCTTTCAAAGGCAAGTTGCCCGTTCCTCATTAATCCATTCTTACCCCTTCGAGGTAAATGGGCGTTTATGGCCAGAGAGCAAATTAACTCACATCCCTGTTTCCTGTGCTTCCTAATCAGCCAAGCGGGGCGGGCGCTTCTGTTAATGACCATGCATTCGGGCCTGCTCTCTGCGGAAGGGCATTTTCACACAGGCGTCTGAGTGCAGTGCAAGGGCCTGCGTAGCTGTGCTTTTCTCCCAGAGGGCAAAAGGAAGGACTGAACTGGAATTTTCTTGTTGAAAATGCAGATGCAACAAGTTGAGGTCGTATTATATTACATACTCTTTTCTATGTCAGGAATGTGTCCAGGATAGAGTTTGCATTAAAAAAGAATCGCATAAAACCATGACATTCGGAAGTGCCGCGGTCAAGGCCGTGAGAGCGATCCCCAGGGGGAGCCCGCCTGCCCCGCAATATTATATTTGTTGATTTACACACCTCTGCATCTTCATTATTACACGTGGTTTTCTTGCCAGTCCATTCTGGTCGCTTCAGTCCCTAGTGATGTACTTAAATATGCAGTGAACCATTTCAGGTTCACCAGAATTGACACGGATTGTCAAATTAGTTGGTTTTACCTACTTATTTTCATTCTCAAACTAAATTATTTCCACATGAGTAGGACTAAAGGGAACCTGTGACAAGAATCTTGGGTGTAAAACGCACTCTTCTCTATGCAGTGAAAGATTTTGCATGTAACTAGGTAGAAATATTTGCCTTAGAAAAAGGATGTCATTTAGAGTCATACTTGAAGAGTTACATGAAATGTCCTTACTGATTCCCCACTTTAAAGGAGATTTTAAAATGTATGTATTATTTCACTTTACTGATTAAAAGTGGATTTAAGACGCCTAAGAGATGTGACCTAATGGTTTAGCTCCAACTGAAACGAGCGCCCGCCCTCCCATCCCGTTTCTGCCGTAGCCACCTGTCCTGCCCCCCTCAGCTCGGCTCCAGGTGCCCATTCCTGTTCTCACGGGTGCTGTTTGGCAAAGATGCATGAATTGCATTAACTCACAACGGTCTCAAACTTTTACTTTATTTAAAAAGGAAAAAATTTCAGTGCTAATGCAATCTTGCCTTCACTATCAATGCCTGGAAGCTACAGTTCACATCATACATCAAAGAAAAAATTTTGACAAACTGTAGCCTGTGTCCTTGGAGACAGAGTTGAAATTTAGGGGGTGGAGAGAGCACATGAGTGTTACCGAAGCTTCCAAAACAGGTA